AGGGGCTGCTAGCTGACCTGACGCAGACGCGGACGCAGCGAACTGAGGGGGCACAGTAGTCAGTGTGTACAGACTCGAGCCAGGCGCACGGGTAAACTTGGCCAGGTGCCGGTCCATCCGGGAGCACGTACAGTGGGTCACGCGCTGACCTCTAGGAGTGAACTGGTCAACCAACTGGTCCTGGAGGTCAGCACCACTCACCAAGTTCGTAGAGAAAGAGGGGAGATGAAGACCTGACAGGGAGCCAGACGGGACCGCCGGACACGGCAGGACCGTGGAGGAGTAAGCAAGGACTGGACCCCCAGAGGGGTCTGCCAGGGAGACTGCAACCGGCCGACTGAGCGGCGTGAGGGTGGTGCTGTCGCGAAAGAAGGAGTGGGAAGCACCTGAGTCAAGTGTGAAGGTGTACAAGGCCTCAGCAGTCGCAGTACCAGAGAGAGCAGACTCACCAGTACCTGGAGCAGCAGCCTCACCAGCACCTAGAGCAGGAGACGCACTAGAACCTAGAGCAGCAGCCTCACCAGCACCTAGTGCAGGAGACGCACTAGCACCTAGAGCAGCAGCCTCACCAGTACCTAGAGCAGCAGGCTCTATACCTGGGTCAGGCGGTACGCACAGGTAACAGGCACCGTCAGCACTAGTAGGCAATGCATACATAGCAGTGAGAATAGCATCATAGTCAAGAGCAAAGATATCTACCCTCTGCCTAAGCAGCTCCAGCCAGGTGGGGAGCTCAGCCTCGTCGCCAAACTCGGTACGCCAGGCGTCGCTCAGACGGGCGAAGCAGCGGGACTATGTGTGACCAAGCGTCCCGCAAGCCTGACCAGCCCGATCACCTGTGCGAACGACGTACGGGCAGCGAACGGTACTCCGAGACCCTCTACTATGAGCGTACCACTCGTGAAGCTGCTGGGACGTAAGTGTCTCGCGAGGACGCCGCTGCAGCTGCAGCTGGCCACTGCCAGACGCTCCCAACTGACCAGCTCCAGGGCGACAGCTACGACGGCTACCGCCACAACCCCAACTAGCGTACCACTCACGAAGCTGCTGGGGCGGGAGAGACTCGCGTGGACGTCGCTGGAGCTGCATCTGGCCACCGCCAGTAGCAGCAGTAGCAAAATTAGCAGCAGTAGCAGCAGCAGCAGCCTAGCAGCAGTAACAGAAGTAGCAGCAGTAGCAGCGCGGGCAGGGCAGGTGCGGCAGGCGGGTAGGCAGATGACGCAGCAGCGCGCGAACACGGTAGGTGCTCACCAGTGGCGGGAAAGGCAGGCGCTCGCCGAGCGAGCAGGGCCGGCGCTCGGCGGGCGGCGGCCGGGCAGGCGCACGACGGCGGCGACGGAGGGGCCGCGACAGCTGCGGCAGAGCAGGGCCGCGTCGGCGGTAGAGCAGGTCCGCGACAGCTGCTGCAGGGCGGGGCCGTGACCGCTGCAGGGCGGGGCCGCGAGGACTGCTGCAGGGCGGGGCCGCGAGGACTGCTGCAGGGTGGGGCCGCGACAGCAGCAGGAGGCTCCGCGGCAGCTTCTGCAGGGCAGGGCCGCGACCGTGGCAGGGCGCTCCGCAGCAGCTGCTGCAGGAGCGACGGCGGCAGTCAGGCAGGGGCGGCGTCTAGGGGGGGGGGCATCGCGACAGGCCAGGGCGACGTCCAGGGGGGGGGGGGGGGGGGGGGGGGGCGCGGCGACAAACAGGGGCAGCCGCGGTGCGCGGGGCTGCAGCGGGCGCGGCGCGCGAAGCCGCAGCGGGCTGCGCGAGGACGGCAGCCACGGCACGTGGGGCTGCAGCGCGACGCGCGGGCAGCGGACGCGACGCGCGGGGCTGCAGCGCGACGCGCGGGCAGCGGACGCGACGCGCGGGGCTGCAGCAAGCAGCGCGGGCTGCGGACGCGGCGCGCGGAGCAGCAGCGAGCCGCGCGCGGGCTGTGCCGAGGCGCGACTCGGGCAGCTTGGGCGACGCGCGGGGGAAAAAACGGGCCGCGCGCAGGAATCAGGTCTGCGCGCTCTAAGCAGCAGAAGACCGCTCAGTCAGCAGACAGCAGGCAGCAGGCAGACGGCGCGCGTAGCGCAGCACGTCACAGGCACAGTCACAGTCGTGGGGTAGCGGTAGGTGGGCCCGAAAAAAAAAGACGGTCCTACGGACCTACGGTTTTGAAACCATGTTAGAATCTAGAGATAGAAATGAATGCACTATGGAAGAGTTGGGTACAAGTATGAAACCCTAAATGGGGCTGTACCCCATATTGGCTACCCCACTACAGCCTACACATATATAGCATGCATATACTTTGACACTTCGACCACTCCCGCAGGCGGCCCACCAACACACCGCTTCCTTTGCAGCGCCACTCGAGGAGTCGCTCGTACACCTTCAGCTCCATCGGTCGGTACCACCACAATCTCCCGCGACCGTGCATCCGCTTCCGTGCGGAGTGAGCTTCCTTTAGGAAATCCGCTGAACGCTTCCAGTTGGAGAGGCACTTGCGGTGTATGCCACTCTCGCGAGCGAGCGGACGTATGGAAACTGCCACCTGTAGAAGCGCGACATACTTCAGTTTTCGGCGGCGGTATACTGTAGGCTTGACGCTTGTGATCGTTGAGCTTATGCCTGGGAGAGGGGGGCGGGCATCACGGTTCTGTGAAGCAGGGTGGGGTCGCTTGCGATTAGTAGGAGGGTAGGTAGGTATCGGCAACTTCTCTGGGAGCCCGTCGCGTGACCAATATTCAACACCGTCGTCCTCGTCAGCGCCCGGCGCCCCCTCAGGAAACACATCTTCAGCGGCGCCGGCCTCGGTGTCAGTCTCCGTGCCACCCTCGGCGCCTTTGCCGCCCTCCTCGAGACCCTCCTTCTCAGCGTCAGGGATATCGTCGTCAGCGCCGACTGCAGATTCGTCCCACGTACAATCGTCGAGACGGCCCCAGCGCTGTCCTGGCACATAATCAGCATCCACATACTCATTTGCGGGCTTCTTGGACTTTGGTTCCGAGAGGTATTCGTCGAACGCCGAGGGGAGCAAAAGCGTGAGCACGGGAGGATTGCCCGTGTGAACAGGAGACATCGGCAACGGGTGAGAAGGAGGAAGAGGAGGAACAGGAGGCGCAGGAGGCGCAGGAGGAGCAGGGGGAGCAGGCGGCGCAGGAGGCGCTGGAGGCTGTGGTGGCTCTGGTGGGCTAGGTGGGACACGGGAGTACCATCCGTCCGCGTCAACTACGAAGGCGGGCTTACGGGTAGGTTTCCTCTTGAACAACAAATGAGTGCCAGAGAATTCGGCCATGGCTTCCGCAACATGGCGGGAGAGACCAAGAATCTGAATGAGAAAGTGAAAGAATTGGAGAAGAAATGAGGGTTTGGAGGGGACCCCTTCTGGTGTGCGGCTCGAGGTCCTCTTCAGGGATAGTCGGGTACCCCCCTGCCTAAACCCACAGAGGAGGGAATCGCGGCACGTATTTGCTGCGCTGGTAGGGATATTCCACCCCCTTCTCGAAGGTTCGGGTGAAATGGTGCACCCTGGCAGCGCATGACATTCCTAATGGGCCGCACGGCAGGATGCACGTCATCGCTGGCAAGTGCGTTGCTCCGGGACAGGCTTTGTGCGGTGGGAAAGCGAGTCGCGGCTGTTTTCGGCGGGATTTCATGCACGATCCCATGCGCACAGTACATGGTCTCATTCGCCTTATTGATGGTTTCAGTTTCGTACCTCTAAAACCAAAAATCATTTTTGACATTATAAAAGCGCCGGCACTTATGGTCATTCCTCAATTACAAGCGCCGCCGATAACAAAACCGATTTTATTATAAGCGCATATGCGCCTATATTCGGGGCTAGACGGTACATGGTTACGACCTTACCGGTAATATAACCTTCAACCTTCAACCAATGCGACTTGAGGATTCTCGAGGACCGATAGGGTTGACTAGGGCCAGCAGGACAAATGAGACGAATTCGTTACAGATGTAACATAAATGGTTACGAAATTCTTTACAGACGTAAAAAAATAATACCGTATGAACAACCACTAGCAAGCCCTCAACAAATTCTCCCGGACATAACACCCTAGGGTAGATCTAAAAATACAGGGGAAAAAAGGGGGGTGTCTTCTCATAGGAAAAAGCTACATAATACCCGGGTGCATATAAATGGTATATTTTAGTGTTAGTATTTTTTTATTAGAGAAGTTGAGTGTTACCATGGGCTTTTAAAGGCCAAACCCCGAATTACTCAAAGCTGGTCAACTCGGTAAAACCTAAGTTCGGGAGGAGGTTGGGGGAATGGTTCGGAACAAAAGCGAACGCAATGATTCGCGAAAAGAATGGGCGAAAGCAAAGTGAATCGCAACACTGGGCCCCAAGTAACCGCCCCAAACTGGAAAGTCAATGCCTTTGCTGAATTACCGTCACGCCACCAAACTGTCATCACTTTTGGGCACAGCCCCAAGCAGGTGGGGATCCCTCGACGTGGATCGGCAGAGGAAGGTGCGGGAGGCACAGTGTCACCAGTTTGCTTTTGACTTTGTAATTCGGGCTTTGGGCTTTAAACATCACGTGTTAAGGCGCGAATGCCAGTTTCGACGCGAACGTCATCAACCCCTCGAAAATGTCATTTGGCACCCCCCTGGCCACATGCAGCGGAAGATTCTCCAGCACGTGGCGACAGCGAAATAGTGGGCGGGGGGGAATCTCGGCAGATTTGATGTGAAAGAACAGAGAAATTTCATCGAGCGAGGAATTTTCGCGATATATTTCCATATTTGCATCTACTCATTAACAGCTATAATATAGAATCAGTAAGAAAAGGGGGGTGTTATAAAAAATCATCCAAAAAGGGGGGTATAGTGAAATCGAGGTCGCCCATAGCACCCACCCTGCACAAGCTACCCGGGGGTGCTCTATCATGGGGGGGTGTTTTGTCCAAAATACGGTAGCAGATGTTGGCTACCAAAAACTATTATAGCTTATCTCCAAAAATATGCATTTCGTTCCGTTTTCTTCACCCAAATTTTCCACATCACCTATTGCCGCCCACTTTTCTCTTTCACAACCTCCACCACCTCCTCCCCATCGCTCTCCCCATCACTCTCCCCCGCACTCTCCCCCCCGTCACTCTCACTCCCAGACACCACTCCACGCGTCTCGGCGCGCTTGCTCCTTTCCGCCGCCCGCCGGCTCTTTTCCTCGGCGGCAGCCATGCGCTGCAGCACGGCCTTGTTGGGCGCCAGCACCATGTGCATCGACCGCCCCTCCAGATGCGCCTTCGACTCCACGATCGCCAGCTGCAAGGGGAGTGGGAAAGACATGAGTAGAAGAGGCACGCGCATTAAGGTGAGGGGGGTGAGTGTGGCCTTGTTGCGCGCTGGCACCTATGTGCACCGATCGCCCCTCCAGATGCGCCTTCGACTCCACTATCGCCAGCTGCAGGGAGGGAGCAACAGGGCAGAGGGAAGAAGGTGAGGGGTCAAGAGTGTGCCCGGAGGTGAGGGCAACACAGCCCACACCATGCTAATTGCTCACCTCAGCCACACCATGCTCTCACCTCAGCCACACCATGCTCTCACCTCAGCCACACCATGCTCTCACCTCAGCCACGTCGTGTTGGAACTTCTCAAAGAGCTTCACCCCCAGCTCCTTGAACTCCATCTCGCGCCCTCTGAACTGCGCCGTCAGCTTCACCTGCCCTCCCACACACACTCCCAAGGCGGGAGTGGAAAAGGTGGAGAGAGGGGCAGAAAGGAGGAAGGGCAGACGGCAAGGGAGGGGAGAAGGGACAGATGAGGAATGGGGAAACATATGTGAGAAAGTCTTTTGTAGCTCTTATTTTGCCGTACACAGTATCCCCATCATTCTTCACTCGTTATCCCCACCATGCATCACCCCTTCTCCCCACCATGCATCACCCCTTCTCCCCACCATGCATCACCCCTTCTCCCCACCATGCATCACCCCTTCTCCCCACCATGCATCACTCCTTATCCCCACCATGCATCACCCCTTCTCCCCACCATGCATCACCCCTTCTCCCCACCATGCATCACTCCTTATCCCCACCATGCATCACCCCTTCTCCCCACCATGCATCACCCCTTCCCGATATGCATCACACCCCTTCCCCATATGCACCACACCCCTTCCCCATATGCACCACACCCCTTCCCCATATGCACCACACCCCTTCCCCAGATGCACCACACGCCTTCCCCAGATGCACCGCACCTTATCGCCATCATGCACCGCACCTTATCGCCATCATGCACCGCACCTTATCGCCATCATGCACCGCACCTTATCGCCATCATGCACCGCACCTTATCGCCATCATCCACCGCACCTTATCGCCATCATGCACCGCACCTTATCGCCATCATGCACCGCACCTTATCGCCATCGTGCAGGAATTTGAGCGCCTGCTTGAGGCGCACGTTGTAGTCCCCCGTGTCAATGTTGTACCTGGGGAGGACCAGTGGGGAGGGGGTGGAGGGTCGGGGAAGGCACAAGCAGAGTGAAAGCACTGATGCCTCACGTCACTCACAATTGGGTCGCACGTTGTAATCGCCCATGTCGATGTTTTACCTGGGTGGGAGGGGGAGGAGGGAGGAGAGGGGGAACGCACAAGGAGAGTCAAGGGGCGATTGCCTCGAATGCTGCAAATGCCTCACACTCACTCACTCTCACAGGTATGTCGGCACGACAAGTGGACGCATGCCTTACTAGACAAATGGCCGGAGCAGGGAAGGGGTTGGGTGGGGAGGGGCGATGGGCGAGAAGAAAGTTGCAGGAGGGAAAAGTGGAGGAGGGGAAAAGGGTAGAGAAGCTGTGGGGAAGGGAAGTGAGAGTGTGCGTTCTCAACGTCAACATGCAAACTTTTTCTCAACTAAGCAATCCCAAGGTTGACATGCAATCCCAAGGTGGACATGCAATCCCAAGGTTGACATGCAATCCCAAGGTTGACATGCAATCCCAAGGTTGACATGCAATCCCAAGGTTGACATGCAATCCCAAGGTGGACATGCAATCCCAAGGTTGACATGCAATCCCAAGGTGGACATGCAATCCCAAGGTTGACATGCAATCCCAAGGTTGACATGCAATCCCAAGGTGGACATGCAATCCCAAGGTTGACATGCAATCCCAAGGTTGACATGCAATCCCAAGGTTGACATGCAATCCCAAGGTTGACATGCAATCCCAAGGTGGACATGCAATCCCAAGGTTGACATGCAATCCCAAGGTGGACATGCAATCCCAAGGTTGACATGCAATCCCAAGGTCTGAGAATTCTAAAAATTTGCTCACAGAGATGAAGGGTTGGCACGAACGAGGGAGTGAGTGAGGAAGTGAGTGAGTGAGTGAGTGAGGGAGGGAGGGAGGGAGTGAGGGAGTGAGGGAGTGGGGAGCTGACCGCATGTTGAGCTCCTATCGGCATGTCCTTGATAATACAAAGAAATGGATTACAGGGATGGAAGAAGGGCTGGATTGGCACGAGTGAGGGAGTGAGAGGGTGAGTGAGGGAGCTGACCGCATCTTGAGTTCCTTGAGCTCCTGGCGGCTGGCAGCAGCCTTCTTCTGCTGCTCGCGCTTCTTCTTCTGCTGCTCGTACCGGAACTTGCTGTAACGAGGATGAAACAGGTGGGACGGGATGAGGCAGTAAACAAGCAGAAGCAAGACAGAGTATGATTGCTTACCAGAGAGAGGCTGAGGGAGGGAGCTGAAGGTAAACAGCACACACAAACGAGCACACAAACGAGCACACAAACGAGCACACAAACGAGTGCATACTCACATACACCAGACGCAATCACTGAAATGTCAGTACGCCTCCTACACAAACAGCCCGTGTGAGTGGGTGAGGTGAGCACTGAGCGTTCACCTGTAGTCCATGATTCGTGCCACAGGCGGCTTGGCATCCGCTGCTATCATCACCTGCTCTCACCCCCGCATGCATGCCACGCAAGGGCGGGGCAGGGCAGGGGAGAGGAGGGGAAGGGAGGGGAGGGGAGGGCAGGGGAAGGGAGGGGAGGGGAGGGGAGGGGAGGGGAGGGGAGGGGAGGGGAGGGCAGGGGAGGGCAGGGCAGGGGAGTGCAGGGGAGGGCAGGGGAGGGCAGGAGAGGTTAGGGGAGGGTAGGGGTGTTAGTGTTAGCCTTCAATCTCACATTTTGTACTTGTACTTTATTTATCCTAGTTTAGTATACTTTGCACTTGTGTTTGGTTGGGTGTACGCCCACATCCCAACCAGACTCAGATGTGATCTGCAAGCAATCTCCAACCCACCAGTTGGGGATTGCCTTGGGATTACCCCAATCCCTAGATATTGCCCCCGATTCCCTCCCCATCCATTTCTTGCTCATTGTGGATGTACTTAAAGAGCTTCAAGCTCATTACTAATTCATAGATTCTAAGCTCAAGTTCTGACCAGGGGGGGGCAGGGGAGGGCACGGGAGGGCACGGGAGGGCAGGGAGAGCAGGGGAGGGCGGGGAAGGGCAGGAGAGGTTAGGGGGGGGTAGGGGAGGGTAGGGGAGGGCAGGGAAGGGCAGGGAAGGGTAGGGGAGGGAGGGGGGGGGGGGGGGCAGGGGAGGGTAGGGGTGGGAGGGGAGGGGAGGGGAGGGGAGGGGAGGGGAGGGCAGGGAGGGAGGGCAGGGGAGGGCAGGAGAGGGTAGGGGAGGGCAGGAGAGGGTAGGGGAGGGCAGGAGAGGGTAGGGGAGGGCAGGAGAGGGTAGGGGAGGGCAGGAGAGGGTAGGGGAGGGCAGGAGAGGGTAGGGGAGGGCAGAAGAGGGTAGGGGAGGGCAGGAGAGGGTAGGGGAGGGCAGGAGAGGGTAGGGGAGGGCAGGAGAGGGTAGGGGAGGGCAGGAGAGGGTAGGGGAGGGCAGGAGAGGGTAGGGGAGGGCAGGAGAGGGTAGGGGAGGGCAGAAGAGGGTAGGGGAGGGCAGGAGAGGGTAGGGGAGGGCAGGAGAGGGTAGGGGAGGGCAGGAGAGGGTAGGGGAGGGCAGGAGAGGGTAGGGGAGGGCAGGAGAGGGTAGGGGAGGGCAGGAGAGGGTAGGGGAGGGCAGGAGAGGGTAGGGGAGGGCAGGAGAGGGTAGGGGAGGGCAGGAGAGGGTAGGGGAGGGCAGGAGAGGGTAGGGGAGGGCAGGAGAGGGTAGGGGAGGGCAGGAGAGGGTAGGGGAGGGCAGGAGAGGGTAGGGGATGGTAAGGGAGAGCAGGGGAGGGTAGGGGAGGGTAGGAAAGGGCAGGGAAGGGCAGGGGAGGGTAACGGAGGGAGGGCAGGGGAGGGTAACTGAGGTGGGGCAATGAAAGCGGAAGAATGAGCGAATGGAGAAGCAATCACGGGCTCTCCCAACGGGACAGCAGCAACCACTCACCAGGTTCAACTCTGCAACCCTACCTCTGGGTGGAATCGCAGCAGCACACCCCAGCACATCCCAGCACACCCCAGCACACCCCAGCACACCCCAGCACACCCCAGTACACCCCAGCACGCCGCAGCACGCCGCAGCACGCCTCATCACATCCCAGAACGCCTCAAAACTCCCCAGCACCGGCTCACCAGGTCAAGCCCCGCCTCTCGGGCCTTGGAGAGCGCCTCCTCTCTCGATACTATCCCCAGCTGCTCTCATGCTCGCTCGCACAGACGGGCACGCACAGGCAGGCAGGCAGGCAGGCAGGCAGGCAGGCAGGCAGGCAGGCAGACAGGCACAGGCAGAGGGAGCGGGAAAGGGAGAAAGAGAGGGGCGAGTGGAAGAACAGTGAGTTTCAGTCAGGAACAGGAGAGGAGAGGAACGGCCACGACTACAGCCATGGCTCAAGTTAGTCACAGCGGCAGGTAATAAAAAAGGGCGACGGTGAGACTAGGAGATGGGAGGCGCGGCGCGAGAGAGAACAAAGATGTACACCTACAATAACTCGAGAAGGACTCCTTGTTCAATGCTCTTGTTCTCTCGCTCGCCTACACTACGCGAAGAAAGCAGCAAGTGTGCATTGACAGAGGTCAAAGGGGCGCCAAGGAGAATCCCTCCGCGCAGCCACGCGGTGCTGCACTCACCAGAGCCTGGTCCTCTGCCAGCAGCCGCAGCGTGGGCACCCTGCCACGTGGAGGGACGGATGGATGGGTGCAGAATGGTTTGGCATACGGGGTACGTAGATACATGTTGCATGGTGGATGGTGGATGGTGGATGGTGCATGGTGGATGTTACATGGTTACTGGTGGATGGTGCATGGTGAATCGACTCGACTAGTGACTGGCATGTGGCGACTAGTGAGCCGACTCGACTCGACTAGACTCCACACACGCAATCACGCAATCGATTCGCACATCAAAATGAAGACGCGGTGCGAACATGGTGACCGTTAGGTCGGTTAGGCTCGACTCGCGATGGCCAGGTCGTTCGCGTTGCGGCAGAGCGAACGCTGCGAGATCGTCGTCGGCAAAGGAGGGAAGTCTCTTTTAAGAACATCGTGATTCTCAAAAGTGATGTCAACATTGTCGGCAATGGAGGGGATTTTCTTACCGCGACCCACACGAACCCCCCACACGCGCACCCGTCGTGATCACAGTGCTTCGCGCGACCCCCCACACCCGAGCATTAACCCCCCGCACCCAATCCCCTCACACTCTGAATCGGATATAGTTCGACGAACCACTTCAACAACACGCACGAGCCGCGTCGAAACAGCGCGTCGAGTCAACCTTCGCGTTCCGAGGCGCCTCAAAGACACCCTCGCGACGCGTCAAGATAGCGCACCGTGCCACGGCTCAGACGCCTGCAGCTGCTCTCGCCGACAGCTCGCGCGTCGTGTGCGGCGAAATGCACGCACAGGTGACCGCTTTAATCCGCTCCGCCTCAAATCTGCTGCGCAAACTAAAGCCTACGTTGAGACGCATCGGACCGAACTTTCCACAATCCATGCTAACCAAACGGTCTCCAATGGGACGCGTCGCGACAGCCCCGAGGCAAGCGATCCACGGGCTACGATGCATTGCGCTCCAGAGGCTGCATTGCCCCCCTTCCCCCCCCCGCCACCTCCCCACCTCTCTCCCCCCCTCCCCCCCCCCCCCCCCCCCCCGTCGCTCACGGCTTGCCTTCTAATCTAATCAAGCCTGGGAAGTTTCACCTAACGTCAGGGATCCTTCTTATTATTGCTTATCTAGCACGGCTGTTGGCATGCGATTCGACTCACCTGTCCACCATTCACCTGCACTCCGTCTCATCTGATCTACTGTTCACCTGAGGTCCGTCGACATTAGTGTTCATCTGCAGTGCGAATCACCTGCTTTCAGTTTCACCTGCGGTCCGGCTCTCACCTGATATCACTGTTCATCAGCGGTCCGTCCTTATCATCCGTCTGTTGCTGCTGCCGTCTCATCGGCGGCCGTTGCGACGGCCGCGCACCAGCGGGCCGCGGCCGCGCGCCTCCCGCCCTCGCCGTCACCTCTAAGCGCGCCGAGCGGTTGCCTCCGTGCGGCCAGCCGTGACTGGGCCCGCGCCCGCCGACGAAATCAGCTGAAACTCGCGACACAGAGTGGCGTATACCGGCTGGTGGTAACCATGTTACGGACGAAGGCTGGCTCGCGGGAGTTCTGAGAGTGGCGGTGGGCTCTGGACGAATGGTGGCGAGACGCGTTGCTCCGATGTGAGTCAATGCTGACGCCATGACTGGGACGGCGAGATCACTGGACGTCAGCGGTAATCTAAACAGATTGGTAATATCTAGCGTTGCTGCAACTGAAACGAGAAGCAGGCTGCTCTAATAATATTTGAAGAGAAACAGCAGACAGCTTGCGCTAGTATTTCAGACAAATCACCATGTAGCTGCAGGACAGATCACTATGGGACATGCAACCTGGAGATTCTAGATCAATCATGCGCGAAATGAGGATCAGAGGTTTATCCAAACGAGAAAGGGAGGCGGTGGGGGGACGTTGCAGGAGAAATCTGTACTCGATAGAAGGATCGTGTGGAGGGTGTCTCGTGGGTTGAAATGACGTGGCTGCACGCTAGTGCTGTACGTGGAATTGTTTGGAGTTAAACGTTGACGTGTGATGTGAATGTGTGTGACCAACAGTGTCTCACTTAACCTTCTGTAACCTTCACATACCATAGTTGCAGCATTATACTTGAGGATCAATTCAATATCGTATCCTTTATTCCATAAATGACATTACAAAGCGAGAAAGAGTTGAGTGAATCTATGAAAACACTAGTATGTACAGAATGTTTTTTCTACTACTTACGGTCATTTCACAAAGCTACAAAATGTATCTGAACGAATTATAGGTGCTTTTCCTTTCCGTGCTGGATTTCACATCGCGGATATGAAGGCGGTTGACCCGCTGTACCACGTCACCGCCGAAGAGCCCAGCACTGGCCAGCCCAGTCGCTGCGGTCAAGTCTCAGATTGGGAAATGATCAGATTGGGGCCCCAAAGTCCTAGGAGTTGAGCCAACTTGGGGCCTTGTGTATCGCGATGTTTCGAGCCTGGTCCGGACCTGTCTCTAACCAATTTCGGGCCTCACCCACGCGCTCCGTCAGACCTGACCACACGAGGTGACGGATTTCTGAACGGAGAAGCTGGCAAAAAGTATAAACCCCGTACGGGCATGCATCCGGTCAGGGAGGCATCAATCCTAAACACATTGTCGCATGTTTTTAGGGTTGATGCCTCCCCAATTTTATGCCATCCAACTGGGTTTTATTTTATTACCACTACGATAATATTTTTGGGGTAAAATGTTTATTTCTGGGTTATTCTGTGCTGCCCATTTTGAATGGTCTGACGATCACTGCTCCCGTGAACCAGGGTGCTAGCGAAATCCGTCAAGCCCAAGCCAGCAGGTGGTGACGTGGCGAGCTCGGCCTAGCTGCCTAGGCTTGTGGGTGGCTTCGGGCCTCCTTCGTAGGGTCGCGAATCACGAGGCCCCAAGTTGGCCATCTTTCTGCTAATCTGAGGCCCCAGTATGATCATTCCCCTCTCAGATTTCCCTCAGGCTTCCCCTGGTTCGTTCGCCTGGCGCAGTCAGTCCTGCGAAGTCGTGGGCACCTGGTACTCGTCAAGCAGTCGCATAAGGGGATATACTTACACGTGGCAGCTCTGTTTTCGCGAACCCCGTTCCTGCCGAGTCCAGCGAAAGTTGAGAGCAGTCAGAGGTGGTGCTGGCGACTCCACGGCCTCGTTGTTACGTATCGCAGCGAATTCCACCAAGGCAATGAAATGCGCTGTTTCGCGGATACCAAAGAACGAGGAGCGAATTCGACATTTGCTGCGCTGGAGTCGTTGCGGGGCGAAATTGGCTCGACTGACTGCCAGCAATGCATGGGGTTTCTTGCTGCTGCTTGTCTACCTCTTCCCCCTCATCCCTCTTTGCACCCACAATTCAAAACCCGAGGCTTGGCTTTCTGAATCCATTACCTCTTTAGAGTAAGCAAAGGCGAACGTAGAGCACATTAGAAGCAGCCTCTTTCAAAGGGATCACCTGTGGATTGCACGCGGAGCAGAAAGCACAGAACCTTCTGCCGAGTGCCATAGCGTTTCTTCACGAGGGACAAAGAAAGGCTCGCAACCGTTGTTAGTGTACGTCTCACTAGGGCACTGCCCTGCTGGGTTAGTCGTCATCATGGCGTCCGCACGGGTCGCGGTCGTCCTCCTGCTCGTCGCATGCGCTCTCCAGTCCGCCGCAGGTCGCGGAAGGTTCTTCCCGAGCCAGTACTACACTACAGGGCGGCGCGGCGAACCCATTCCGGCGCGCGCGGCGCGCAGGCACAGCAGTCAGCACCGCACGAGCCACCAGCTGCGCCCAACCATCGCGCACCAGCACCATCTCCGCGCGGCCTCGAGCCCCGATCTTCCGCCTCCGCCTTCCCCCCCTTCCGCCACCACTCCGCCCATCCAAGTCGTCCGCTTCGCGCGCAGGCGGCTGCCGCGCCCAGAAACTCGCCGAGTCCGGAACTCGCGAGCCAGGATGCTCGTTACGAGCCACGCACCGAGGCTCGTCCGCAGGCCCGGTCATGAGGCAAGGCTCGGCGGAGGGCCGAGGTTCCGTCCGCGCGAGCTTCTAGCGGACAGCGATGGTGGTACTATCAAGTTTGACCGTAGCACGGGGCAGAAAGTGAAAGTATTCGATGGGACTGACCGAGACGGCGACGAGGTGGAAATTCTCGAAGAGGTTCCTCGCGCCTCCTCCAGCGCCGGTCCGGCCTACGACAGCATGCAGCGGCTCGGCCGTCCGCGTCATGGGCGCCACGGTAGTCGGGCGCCTCGACAGCACAGTGTGGTTCGATACAGTAACCCGATGTTGGACTCTATAGCGGAGCAAAACGCGAAGATGGGAGGCCCCCCGGGAGGGATTTTGGCGGGATACACTGACTCAGGATCAGGTTCGGACGGTGGTTCGGTGAGTGAGGAGAGCGCAGGCGGTGATTGGCCGATGCTGGACGCCATAGATGAGCAAAACGGCAGGATGGGAGGCTCGGAATACGGCTCGGACGGCGGCTTCGAAGGAGGCTGGGATGGTGGCTTGGAAGGAGGTTCGGAAGGAGAGTGGGTTGACCGGTCAGATGGAGGTTGGGAAGATGGTTCGGATGAATTTTGGGAAGATTTTTCGGGCTCGAACTGGTACGACGGCTCGGATGCAGGCTGGGATGACGGCTCGGGTGGAGTCTGGGATGATGGTTCCGAAGGAAGCTGGGATGTAGGCTCGGGGGAAGGCTCGGAGGATGGCTGGGACGATGGTTCGGACGGAGGTTGGGACGACAGCTCGGAGGGAGGCTGGGACGATGGTATGGGAGGTTGGGATGATAGCAGCAGCGATGGCAACAGCACATGGGAGGGCGACTACGGGAGTGACGACTACGGGAGTAACGACTATGGGAGTGGAGGTGACGAGTATTTCGCTGAACCTTCCGATGCAGAGGACTCGCTTTATCCCAGTGGCGGCGACTATTACACTGCTGACAGTGCCGACAGCACTGCCGCACTCAAGCCCATGGTCCCTCGCACTGCTGCTACTCGCCGCCCGCCACGCGCCGTGGCACGTCCCACGCCTGTTCCTCCGAACCAAGGTACCCGAGCCAAGCCGGTCAAACGCCAAGCCGGGGCTCGAGGCTCGGGCTCTCAAGCCAAGCTGGTGAAGCGTCCGGGAAACTACCACGGCGGTTCGGCCCATGCCACGCCTGGCCACCACAACGGCAAACCCCGTCCCTCTGCCCACGTGGCAGCAAACCAGCACGCTGGTACGGCACGAGCCAAGCCAGCTCGAGCCAAACCAACCCGAGCCGTGGGAACAGGTACGGTGGCCGTGCCAGTGGCAAGGGCAGCGAAGCACAGCACCCTGATTGCACCGGCAGGGCAGGGGCAGGCACAGGGACAGGGTGCGGGGGGAGCGTCTGGGAGCGGAGGTGGGAGTTCCAGCAGCTCTGGTGGAGGAGTGGTTGCCACTCCAGGTGGCGGCAGTGGCGGCAGTGGTGGCACCGGTAGCACCGGCAGCACCGGTAGTGGTGGCAGCACCGGTAGTGGTGGCAGCACCGGTAGTGGTGGCAGCAGTGGAGGGGCAGTGAGCCCTCCGGACCCAGCAGCAGGGGATGAATCATATGATGATGCTGATGCCGATGATGGTGGTGCCAGTGGTGGCGGAGCTGCTGATGGTGATGCCGATGATGTTGGTGATGCTGAGGATGGTGGTGATGCTGCTGACGGTGATGCCAATGATGGTGGTGCCGGTGGTGGTGGTGCTGCTGACGGTGATGCCGATGATGGTGATGCCGGTGGTGGTGGTGCTGCTGACGGTGATGCCGATGATGGTGGTGCCGGTGGTGGAGCTGCTGACGGTGATGCAGATGATGCCACTCCTGTCGACCCCCCTGCTGATGGCGTCCCGATCCCCCCGGTCCTCCCACCCACCACACCTCCTCCCACAAACGCTCCTCCAATCGCCCCTCCTCCTACCACCACACCTCCCACCACCCCTCTCCCCACTACCACTCCTCCTACCACCCCTCCCCCCTCCACCACTCCTCCAACCACCCCTCCCCCCACAACCACCCCTCCCCCCACAACCACCCCTCCCCCCACCACCACTCCTCCCACCACTCCTCCCACCACCCCTCCCCCCACAACCACCCCTCCCCCCACTACCACCCCTCCCACAATCCCTCCTCCCACCACCACTCCTCCTCCCACCGCCGCTCACCACCTGCGCTGCGGCGTGGCCCCAGGCTCACTCCTCAACGCACTCAACTGGGCGTGTGGGCCCGGCGGCGCCGACTGCTCCTCCATCCAGCCGGGCGGGGCGTGCTTCCAGCCAGGCAACCTCGCCCTGCACGCGTCAGTGGCCTTCAACTCCATCTTCCACTCCCACGCGCACCGCCCCGGCTCCTGCTTCTTCGGAGGCAATGCCGTGGTGGTTCCACATGTGCCCGACTACGCTGCCGGCCCGGCCGCCTGCACCTTCCCGTCGTCCAACGGCCAGTTCTGCGTTGCTGCCTGCCAGGAGATCCCTGACCCCTACTCTCCCCCTCCGGGCCTCGTTCACCCCGTATACCCCCAATACTCCCCCGAGCCGGATTACCCCCCCAGAGGTGTCGTGGCGCCGGGCGGAGGCGGTAGGGGTGGCTGCGCGGCAGACATGGGGGCGGTGCAGAGGGCGTTGGACTGGGCGTGTGGGCCGGGCGGGGTGGACTGCTCTCCCATACTGCCGGGAGGGGCGTGCTGGCAGGGAGATGGTGCGCTGGTACAGCATGCGTCTCGCGCCTTCAATGCATACTTCTACCGTCACAACCACCAGCCTGGAACGTGCTTCTTTGGTGGCACTGCGGTGGTCGTCCCCCGCGTTCCTGACTATGCTGCTGGCCCGCCCGCCTGCACCTGGCCCTCGGGTAACAGCCAGTACTGCGTCGTGGGGTGCTGAGGAGTCAGGCAATGAAAGGTTGGGTGGTGCTGAGGTGGGACTGCTGTGGTGGTCTCCCCGTGAGCCTGACTATGCTGCTGCCCCGCGTGCATGCGACTGGCCCTCCGAGAATGGCCAGTACTGCGTCGTGGGGTGCTGAATAGGTTGGGGTGGAAGGCATTGAGCTATGAGTGGACCTACTAGTTTGGATTGTAGTACGGTCACAGGAATGAGATGTGAGGTGGGATAAGAGTATAGAAAGGCTCTTTTTTCAGTGTGTGATTATTTTCTTTCCTTTTTATCCCTTGTCATCGTTGCATCGGACTGTATATTTATGTTTTCTACAGTAGATTTCCATGCTTCGGATACACTTCTTTTTGGGTGGTTAGACAGAGTGCCCATTCAATGTATTGGAAGCTTTGGGCTGTCTTCTCAGGGGGTTACGCATTCTAGAACACTTACTTTTCTTTCAACTCAAGTAAATGGGAGCGCTAGCAATGGGCCAAACATGAGAAAATCTGAAAGTGTTATTTATAAAATGATGCAGTTTATGTTTTAATTATCAGGCTCGCGTGGCTATTCGGTGAGATCCGAGTTTTTCGCAATAGCGAACCCAACACCCGCGAACCCCGCCAGACCACCTCCTTCCGTCCCCAAGACCCGAAGCCGAGTTTTGTGACTTGGTCATCCTGTTCGACTGCTGCCGCTGTCGTCGCGGGGCTAGTGTCGTTACAGGCAGACCTTGGCCAAATTTTTTTGCCCGATTCGTGAGTCCGCGTCGGAAACAAAAGAGTGCTGCGATTCGTCCCCGCGAATCGCGGAGGCAGGATGTATCGTGCCCGCGGCGGTGACCGTGGGCGGGGACGTGGGGGGAGAGCAGGAGGCGGTGGCGGGCGGGGCAAAGGCGGAAGGGGTCGCGCGGGGGGAGGAGGAGCCGGGCGGAAAAGACCTCGGAACGAGTTAATTGACGACGGGGAGCGGGAAGAGTCGTTTTTCGCGCGGGCGGAGGAGGCGGCGGAAGAGGACGCGGAGATCGGATCGGACGGGGAGGGGGAGAATGCGCGCTTGGCGGAGAGCGCGGAGGCGAAGCGCCTGCGCATTGCGCGGTCGTACCTGACGGAAGTGAAGCGAGCAGCGGCGCTGGCCGCGCGGGAGAAGGCGGACGAAGAGGCGGAAGAGGCGGAGGATAGAAGCGGGGAAGGGGAGAGCGAAGATGAGGAGGAGGCGGAGGAAGGGGATGGAGACGAGGAGGGGGAGGAGGAAGGGGACGAGGGTTTAAGGGAGGAGCAGGACGCGATAATAGCTGCCCGATTAAAGCAAGATGCGTTAGAAGAGAGCGGCAGGGTGATCCGGCGAATCGCAACCCGGTTCATCCCGTCTACGTCAGCATCGCCAGGGCAAACAGTGGGACGCAGACATAAGCAGTCGGTGACAGGTGTCGCGCTCTCATTGGACGACAGAACGGGCTTCGCGGTGTCAAAAGACGGGCTAATAGTGGGCTGGGACGTCGAGTCGGGAACCAGCTTTAAGTTTCCCTGGCCCGAAAACTCAAACCCCAACTCCCGGTCGGATGGGGGCGCGGGGGCAGGTGGTGGAGGCGGAGGCGGAGGCGGAGGCGGAGGGTGGAATAAAGGGAAGGGGAAGGGGGGGAAGAGCAGCCGGCACGTGCTGAGCGTGAGTGTGAGCGACGACGGGCGCTACCTGGCGGCGGGGGGGCTCGACCGCATGGTGCACCTGTGGGACGCGCGCACGCGCGCGCACGTCAAGGTGAGGGGCAGGGGATGGGGTTTAAGCGTGGGGGCTTATGTTTGGTGTGACAGCGAGTCAAGTGACAAGGTCACGCCAGATTATGTTCCAGGACGCATGAGTACTCAGTGGTGGGAGAGAGGGGGGAAGATCCCGTGGGGCAGCTGTGGCACCACATGCACGTCAAGGTCAGCGGCAGGTGGGGGCTTTTGTGTGGGGTTTACGGATTATGGTTAGAGGTAGGTACATGAGAACTCAACGGCCGGGGCTGCCGCCGCATGGTGCGCCTGTGGAACACATGGAGCACAGCGCACGTTAAGGTGAGGGGCAAGGCTCGGGGTTCAGGGTTTGGGGTTAGGAACCTTTGAGTTGGGCTTCGGAACTTGGAAGACCCTTCGTGTGCGACCACAAGGGAGCAGTCATATTGCTTTCCTTCCTCACCCTCTCACTCTTTCCACCTCCCCTGTCTCCTTTCCTCTTCCCCCCACCCTCTTCCCCCCCTTTCTCACCACTCCCCACCCGCGCTCCCCCCTCTCTCCTTCCCCTGCGCCAGTCGTTTGCGGGCCACAGGGGGGCGGTCATGTCGCTCGCCTTCCGGCCGGCATCGCTCGACCTTTTCTCCGCGTCCGCCGACCGCAGCATCAAGCTGTGGAGCTGCGCTGACGTGGCGTACATGGATTCGCTGTTCGGCCACCAGGCGGAGATAGTGGCGCTACAGGCGCTCAGGCACCCACAGAGGGTCGTGTCCGTGGCGAGAGATCGGACCTGCCGGCTCTGGAAGGTGCGTGTGGGTGGGGAAGGCGTGGAGGGCGTGGGGGGGACGGAGTGGCGCTGCAGGCGCTCAGGCAGCCACAGAGGGTCGTCTCTGTGGCGAGGGACCGTACCTGCTGGCTCTGGAAGGTGCGTGTGGGTGGGAAGAAGGAGAACGGGTGTATTCCTGGAGGAGGTGAGGTGCTTTCTGGTAAAACAGGCGCTCAGGCAGCCGCAGACCAGGGACCTTACCTGCAGGCTCTGGAAGGTGCGTGTGGGTGGGAAGAAGGAGAACGGGTGTATTCCTGGAGGAGGTGAGGTGCTTTCTGGTAAAACAGGCGCTCAGGCAGCCGCAGACCAGGGACCTTACCTGCCGGCTCTGGAAGGTGCGTGTGGGTGGGGAAGGGGTGGGGGGTATGTGCACAGCACACCAGGCGGAGATAGTGCGCTGCAGGCGCTCAGGCAGCCGCAGAGGGTCGTGTCGTGTCTGTGGCCATGGACTGTCCTTGCAGGCTTTGGAAGGTGCGTTTGGGGGGCAATGCTTGGGGGAGGTGGTATCTGGTGAGACAGGTACTGTTTGGCGGTCTCTGTGGTGAGTGACCATACCTGCCAGCTTTTGAAGGTTCATGTGGTTGGGGGGGAGGTATGCCTGGGGGAGGTGCGGCAGACGCTGAGGCAGCTGCTGCACAGGGTGGTGTTCGTGGCGATAGTCTGTACCTGCCGGCTATGGAAGGTGCATGTTGGTGGGCCATGCTCGGGGGAGGTGCTATCTGATGCAGGCCGTGGAAGGGGTGTGCAGGGGGAGTGGGGGGCAAGTGGGGTTGGGAGCCGTGGGGCTAGGAGGCCACATTGTGCCCCGCTCTCACTGCTTCTGCTGTCTTGAGCTGCCCTTGTGTTTTTCCAACTGCACTAAGCACCCAATGGCAGGCAAGGGCAGGCAAGGCACTGAGGGATGCCCAGGTGCTGTGGGGTGCGCCTGCTCCTTCATGCCGCCCCCTTTTGCACTTCTCATTGCCTGCTTCCCCTCCTTCCCCTCCTCTCCCCCGGCCATCCCATGGCAGGTACCCGAGGAGGCGCAGCTGGTGTTGCGAGCGCCAGCGCCCTCGTGCCTGGGCTGGTGTTGCGAGCGCCAGCGCCCTCGTGCCTGGGCTCACTCATGCCCCTTCGTCTCCTCCGTCCGCCTTCAACACCAGCTGTTCCCCCTTTGCCTCCTCCTCCTCCTCCTCCTCCTCCTCCTCCTCCTCCTCCTCCTCCTCCTCCTCCTCCTCCTCCTCCTCCTCTCTCTCTCCAATCCCACCACAGGTACATGAAGAAACGCACCTGGTTTTCTGAGCGCCGGTGCCCTCCTGTCTGGACTCGTGTGCCTTCCTCTTGTCCTTTACCTTCATCACTGGCTTCTCCCCCTCCCCCCCATCTCATGCCAGGTACCCGAGGAGACACAGCTGGTGTTCAGAGCACCGGCCCCTTCCTGTCTGGACTCGTGTGCCTTCCTCTCGCCCTCCGCGTTCATCACGGGGGGTGACGACGGGTCGCTGTCGCTCTGGTCCGCCCTCAAGAAGAAGCCCGTGCATGTCGTGCGGGCAGCGCATGGCACCACCACCACCACTGCTGCTGCTGGTACACCTGCCACGTCTGCTGCTGCTGATGCCGCTCAAAATGGCCTGCCCAACGGCGTTGCTGCCCAACAACCAGCAGATGCAGCCCCTGACGCTGCGCCGTTTGCCTCCGCCGCCGCCGCTGCTGCTGCTGCTGCTGCTGCTCCGTCTGTCTCAGCACCGGCAGCAGCAGCGAGTGCAGTGCAGTCGTGGGTGGGGGCTGTTGCCGTGGCGCCCGGCTCTGACCTGGCAGCCAGCGGGGCGGGCGACGGCATTCTCAGGCTGTGGCATTGCGACACGTCAGCGAACCGGCTGCGCCCCGTGGGATCACTTCCAACGGTGCGTTGCATTGGCTGGCTGGACTGGCAATACCACCTCACGTCCACCCCTCACCCCTGTTCCTCACTTCAACCCTTCCCACGTTTCTCCCTTTTCTTCCCCTCTTGTCCTAAACCACACCCATCCCTCGCCTTTCTCACTGTTTTTTCCCACTATCACTCATCTGAATCCATCATCTGCTGTTTGTGGCCTCAAGACATTCAGTTCCTTTCTTGGGGTGCTGAATTGTTCAACTGTTGTTCTTTTGCTCAAGCTCTGTTACAACCCTCTACCTCCACCACTCACTCTACCTGTGCCCTTCCTTCCAGGTTGGCTTTGTTAACTCTATTGCATTTGCTCATCGATCGGATTTCGTCATCTCAGGCATTGGCCAGGTTAGTCACCTCAAACTCGCTTGCATTTTGCTAGGATTGATTTTCTCACTTGCAGTGAGCGTTGTGCTTGTTATTCATCGTCTCTCATCCGCTCCCTGTCTATTTATGTGTAATCCCCACTTTCCCTCTCTTTCATTCTTTGGCGACATGCTATCATTGCTCTTGCTCACTCCCATTATCCCGTATGGCACCTGCACATGCACACACATTCTATTATGTCCGCAGGAGCCACGACTGGGTAGGTGGGGAAGAAACGCAGCTGCTAGAAATGGGGTGGTTTTGCACCGACTACAGTACGAATCTGAGTAAAAAAGAGTAATTACACTAATCAATGGGATGGGAGCTGTCTTTGAGGATAGTGGTATGATAAATTGTGCTCTCAATTTTTTGTACCAGCTTTGATTAGAATTTGAACGTTTGCTTGGGGATCCATCCAAACCAATCCGAAGTTTCCAGAGTTGGGGGCTGATATCGAGTGGTCCGGGTGGCAACTCAAATCTGGGTGCAAACAGGAGGAACCGCAATGCTTCCCTCTGTATCTTGCATGCCCTTTGTCGAACAGCATAGAAACCGAACTGCACCGCACGAAAGCAGTAGGGACGCACAGAAATTCCAGTTCTTACCCAAAGCCGTGGCCCACCCAAAACACTAGTTGAATTCCATCCAAGCCCAATCGCGAGGGCCTCGAGGATACCGACCGCCGTTACCCCCGCCATTCCCCGCCGACCCTGCGTCCTTCGCCTTTCTCCCTTCCCCCGGCCATCTCTAGAGCTCACTGAGATATTTACTATCGCTCGAATTTCCGCGGTTAGCCGGCCGATTGATTAGCTGGATAGTAATGGAGCCGCGGCCGTCAGATTACGCCGACAGACCCCGCGCGCTCGCGCGCGCGCTGGTGTGTGTCGTCGCGGTCGCGCTCGCCTGTGCTCCCCGGCGCGCGGACGCGCAGCCCATGTGCTTCACGGAGCGACCCGTGGTGCAGAAGATCAACAAGCTCTACCAGGGTAAGTTCAGAGATTTAACCATCCGTACCACAGCAGAGAGGCAGGGCATCACAGCTTGAAGCGATGAGGCTTGAATCGAGTCGTACAAACGCCTCATTCCAACACGCCCCCTCTACGCCGCGCCAACCCATCTCCGTGCCACTGCTGGCGCCAGAGAAACTTTGGGCTCGGATGGGTTGGTGCATGTGACGCTGTCAAGCGCCATCCATCAGGGCAAGGCAACAAGGGCGCGGAGGTGGCTCTAGTCGTGCCCTGCAGGTCCCTCATTCCTCCCCTCGTCCGCTCCTCCCCTCCTCCTCTTGTCCCTCGTCCTCTCGTCCCCTCCCACCAGAGAACTTCGGGTTCGAGGGGTTGGTGCATGTGACATTATCGGGCGCCGTGCATCACGGCAACAAGGGCGTGGAGGTGTGGCTGCAGACCTTCGCCCCGGGCTACGCCACCAACGTGCGCTCGCAGGAGCAGGTGCGCTCGCAGGAGCAGGTGCGCTCGCAGGAGCAGGTAGCAAGTTGAGTGCAGGTGGTGCAGCAGCAAGGGCGTTTTGACGTGGCTGTGCAGCAGCAGGTGCGTGGGAAGGGAGAGTGAGGGCGTGGAGGTGTGGCTTCAGACGTTCGCCCCGGGCTACTCCACCAACGTGCGCTCGCAGGAGCAGGTGAGTGGGGGGCAGAGGGGTGAGGGCGACTGAGGGGTGAGGGCGACTGAGGGAGAGGCGGTGCAGGGGAGAGCAGGCAGTGCAGCAGCAGGTGAGGGGCAAGGGAGAGGAAAGCGGTGGTCACTGTGTGAGGGCGTGGAGGCGTGGCTTCAGACGTTCGCCCCGGGCTATGCCACCAACGTTCGCCCCGGGCTATGCCACCAACGTTCGCCCCGGGCTATGCCACCAACGTTCGCCCCGGGCTATGCCACCAACGTTCGCCCCGGGCTATGCCACCAACGTTCGCCCCGGGCTATGCCACCAACGTTCGCCCCGGGCTATGCCACCAACGTAACGTTCGCCCCGGGCTATGCCACCAACGTTCGCCCCGGGCTATGCCACCAACGTTCGCCCCGGGCTATGCCACCAACGTTCGCCCCGGGCTATGCCACCAACGTTCGCCCCGGGCTATGCCACCAACGTTCGCCCCGGGCTATGCCACCAACGTTCGCCCCGGGCTATGCCACCAACGTTCGCCCCGGGCTATGCCACCAACGTTCGCCCCGGCAGTATCTGCCACAGCAGTATCTGCCACAGCAGTATCTGCCACAGCAGTATCTGCCACAGCAGTATCTGCCACAGCAGTACCTGCCACAGCAGTATCTGCCACAGCAGTATCTGCCACAGCAGTATCTGCCACAGCAGTATCTGCCACAGCAGTATCTGCCACAGCAGTATCTGCCACAGCAGTATCTGCCACAGCAGTATCTGCCACAGCAGTATCTGCCACAGCAGTATCTGCCACAGCAGTATCTGCCACAGCAGTATCTGCCACAGCAGTATCTGCCACAGCAGTATCTGCCACAGCAGTATCTGCCACAGCAGTATCTGCCACAGCAGTATCTGCCACAGCAGTATCTGCCACAGCAGTATCTGCCACAGCAGTATCTGCCACAGCAGTATCTGCCACAGCAGTATCTGCCACAGCAGTATCTGCCACAGCAGTATCTGCCACAGCAGTATCTGCCACAGCAGTATCTGCCACAGCAGTATCTGCCACAGCAGTATCTGCCACAGCAGTATCTGCCACAGCAGTATCTGCCACAGCAGTATCTGCCACAGCAGTATCTGCCACAGCAGTATCTGCCACAGCAGTATCTGCCACAGCAGTATCTGCCACAGCAGTATCTGCCACAGCAGTATCTGCCACAGCAGTATCTGCCACAGCAGTATCTGCCACAGCAGTATCTGCCACAGCAGTATCTGCCACAGCAGTATCTGCCACAGCAGTATCTGCCACAGCAGTATCTGCCACAGCAGTATCTGCCACAGCAGTATCTGCCACAGCAGTATCTGCCACAGCAGTATCTGCCACAGCAGTATCTGCCACAGCAGTATCTGCCACAGCAGTATCTGCCACAGCAGTATCTGCCACAGCAGTATCTGCCACAGCAGTATCTGCCACAGCAGTATCTGCCACAGCAGTATCTGCCACAGCAGTATCTGCCACAGCAGTATCTGCCACAGCAGTATCTGCCACAGCAGTATCTGCCACAGCAGTATCTGCCACAGCAGTATCTGCCACAGCAGTATCTGCCACAGCAGTATCTGCCACAGCAGTATCTGCCACAGCAGTATCTGCCACAGCAGTATCTGCCACAGCAGTATCTGCCACAGCAGTATCTGCCACAGCAGTATCTGCCACAGCAGTATCTGCCACAGCAGTATCTGCCACAGCAGTATCTGCCACAGCAGTATCTGCCACAGCAGTATCTGCCACAGCAGTATCTGCCACAGCAGTATCTGCCACAGCAGTATCTGCCACAGCAGTATCTGCCACAGCAGTATCTGCCACAGCAGTATCTGCCACAGCAGTATCTGCCACAGCAGTATCTGCCACAGCAGTATCTGCCACAGCAGTATCTGCCACAGCAGTATCTGCCACAGCAGTATCTGCCACAGCAGTATCTGCCACAGCAGTATCTGCCACAGCAGTATCTGCCACAGCAGTATCTGCCACAGCAGTATCTGCCACAGCAGTATCTGCCACAGCAGTATCTGCCACAGCAGTATCTGCCACAGCAGTATCTGCCACAGCAGTATCTGCCACAGCAGTATCTGCCACAGCAGTATCTGCCACAGCAGTATCTGCCACAGCAGTATCTGCCACAGCAGTATCTGCCACAGCAGTATCTGCCACAGCAGTATCTGCCACAGCAGTATCTGCCACAGCAGTATCTGCCACAGCAGTATCTGCCACAGCAGTATCTGCCACAGCAGTATCTGCCACAGCAGTATCTGCCACAGCAGTATCTGCCACAGCAGTATCTGCCACAGCAGTATCTGCCACAGCAGTATCTGCCACAGCAGTATCTGCCACAGCAGTATCTGCCACAGCAGTATCTGCCACAGCAGTATCTGCCACAGCAGTATCTGCCACAGCAGTATCTGCCACAGCAGTATCTGCCACAGCAGTATCTGCCACAGCAGTATCTGCCACAGCAGTATCTGCCACAGCAGTATCTGCCACAGCAGTATCTGCCACAGCAGTATCTGCCACAGCAGTATCTGCCACAGCAGTATCTGCCACAGCAGTATCTGCCACAGCAGTATCTGCCACAGCAGTATCTGCCACAGCAGTATCTGCCACAGCAGTATCTGCCACAGCAGTATCTGCCACAGCAGTATCTGCCACAGCAGTATCTGCCACAGCAGTATCTGCCACAGCAGTATCTGCCACAGCAGTATCTGCCACAGCAGTATCTGCCACAGCAGTATCTGCCACAGCAGTATCTGCCACAGCAGTATCTGCCACAGCAGTATCTGCCACAGCAGTATCTGCCACAGCAGTATCTGCCACAGCAGTATCTGCCACAGCAGTACGTGCACAGGCAGTCACATCAAGAGTGCAGTTTGGTCCAATAACTTTCGGAATTAGCTGCTCTCTACGCTCGTGAAAGTCCTCTGTTCGTCCGTATCCCCAATCTCCATGCCTGCCGTCCACCTCTCCTGCCATCTCGTTCCCCACACCCCATGCTTTGCTCTCCCTCTCCCTCTTCCTCCCTGCCATGCCTTTGAGAATTCTCAGCACCACACCGTGGTGGTGGTGGTGGTGGTGGCGGTGCTGCTGCTGCTGCTGCTGCTGCTGCTGCTGCTGCTGCTGCTGCTGCTGCTGCTGCTGCTGGGTCAGGAGGTCGCTCTGTCCCCTCCACTGCCTGTCACTCATTCACCAATCAATGTCTGCCACTTGTCATCCTTTATCCACCCTTATTCTCCCCTCTGCTTCCCTCCTGGACACAGTGGTGGTGGTGCTCAAGGGCGAGGGTGCGCTGCGCTGCGCTTCCACCGCCTGTCACTCACGATTCTCACTTGTCCCCCATCGTCCCCCTCTTTCCCCCCTGCACCCCCTCCGCTTTCCCCTCACCTCAGGACACAGTGGTGGTGGTGCTGAAGGGGGAGGGTGCGGTGCGCTACCGTCCCAAGAGCACCGACCAGGTGTCATGTCACCTGCACCCTTTCTTGAGACACACCCCCTGCCCCTCCTCCCTCCCCTTCCCCCCCTGCAGGACACGGTGGTGGTGGTGCTGAAGGGCGAGGGTGCGCTGCGCTTCCGTCCCAACAGCACAGACCAGGTGTCGCCTGCACCCTTCGCCTCCACGCCCTTCCACCCCAACTCCACCGTCATCATTCCGCGCCACACCGTTCATCAGGTACGGCATTGAGACGAATCAGGTTGTAGCAGGCTAGAACTGGACATTGAAGATTCCTGGAAAGGGAGCACCGTTGGGCAGGTAGCAAAGCATCCGTTCGAGGGCATTTTCTACTGAATCAATCAAGGGATGTGTTAGTTGGATGGAACAGGTCGCAGCGTTCGCAGCCCTTTTCGCCAATTTCACCCTGATCTGATCACTCCCCGCAACACTGTTCACCAGGCGCACCGGGGCGCTTTCCCGCTTTCCCCACTCGGGCCTCCCTCATTTGCCTATCGCATCTCAACATGCATATTGCTTCCCTTCCCCCTCTCTTCCAGCTGGTGAACAGCGGCAAGAAGCGCCTGCAGTTCCTGCACATATTCAGCAAGCCGCCCATCAGGTTCAGGGAGTTCACGTCGTGGGAGGAGGCTCAAGGCAAAAAAGTATTCCCAGGGCCCTTCGACCGCAAGTGCCTTCCTGGCAGCTTCTTCGGCGGGCACAGGGCCCCTCCCAGCCGGGATGTGTGACGCGTGACGAGGGAAGAAGCTGGGCGTGTCAGCTGGGTGCACGAGTCCATATGGTCCTCTCTGCTTAATAACTTCTATAATACTTGGATTATTGCTGCATATGGTTTCCTTGTACAATAGCCATGACTGCGCCGTTGGGATGGCTTATCGATGGACAGGCACAGGACAGGACGGCTTGAAAGCTCGCTGCACCAGGGGCACGTGCAAGAGTGTGGGAGGGGGGGAAGTGCTCGTGCTGTAATTACGGTAGTGTGTCAAGCGAGAGTGTCACAGCAGTTGCTGCGTGGAGAGGGTGGCACTGGGGGGGAGCACACAGGGCTACGATGACTCTGGGCGCTTTCCTGGCGGCGTCTTCAGCGCAACACTTGTTTCCCTCGAGTAGGGTTGGGTAGTACGTAGGCATCATCTGAGTTTGTGTATGCCAGCCCACAGCACTGAAGCCATGAGATGAATGCACGCTGTAGTTGCAATATAACTCATGCTTGTCGCAGCGCTCGGAAGAATGACCGAGACACGGCGCTCCAACAGCACAGGCTCATCCCACAACCACGCAACGCAAGCTCTTGTGCGGTGGCAACACATGCTACAGTACACTACAATACGGTAGTCATTGTGCATAGCACATCACACAAGTGCCTCACATCACATGACCCTGCGCCCAGGGTAATCCTCCCTAATCATGCATGTCACCATGCATGTCACCATGCATGTCACCATGCATGTCACCATGCATGTCACCATGCATGTCGCTGGTCGCCCCCAAGCATCAGCGGTCAGCGCACCAGCAGTCCACTGCCACACTAAGAACCGTCGCAAGGCTGCAGTGCAGCACAGCGCAGCACCACAGTTGTCGGATGCATGTCCGATATTCAGTGCAACACCACAGCTGTCAGATGTCCGATGCGCCTCCACCCACACGCCTGGGCCTCGCTAAGCTATTCTGGGAGCCCTTGAGGGAGCCACTTGAGGGAGCCACTTGAGGGAGCCACTTGAGGGAGCCACTTGAGGGAGCCACTTGAGGGAGCCACTTGAGGGAGCCACTTGAGGGAGCCACTTGAGGGAGCCACTTGAGGGAGCCACTTGAGGGAGCCACTTGAGGGAGCCACTTGAGGGAGCCACTTGAGGGAGCCACTTGAGGGAGCCACTTGAGGGAGCCACTTGAGGGAGCCACTTGAGGGAGCCACTTGAGGGAGCCACTTGAGGGAGCCACTTGAGGGAGCCACTTGAGGGAGCCACTTGAGGGAACCACTTGAGGGAGCCACTTGAGGGAGCCACTTGAGGGAGCCACTTGAGGGAGCCACTTGAGGGAGCCACTTGAGGGAGCCACTAGAGGGAGCCACTAGAGGGAGGCACTAGAGGGAGGCACTAGAGGGAGGCACTTGAGGGAGCCACTTGAGGGAGCCACTTGAGGGAGCCACTTGAGGGAGCCACTTGAGGGAGCCACTTGAGGGAGCCACTTGAGGGAGCCACTTGAGGGAGCCACTTGAGGGAGCCACTTGAGGGAGCCACTTGAGGGAGCCACTTGAGGGAGCCACTTGAGGGAGCCACTTGAGGGAGCCACTTGAGGGAGCCACTTGAGGGAGCCACTTGAGGGAGCCACTTGAGGGAGCCACTAGAGGGAGCCACTAGAGGGAGCCACTTGAGGGAGCCACTTGAGGGAGCCACTTGAGGGAGCCACTTGAGGGAGCCACTTGAGGGAGCCACTTGAGGGAGCCACTTGAGGGAGCCACTTGAGGGAGCCACTTGAGGGAGCCACTTGAGGGAGCCACTTGAGGGAGCCACTTGAGGGAGCCACTTGAGGGAGCCACTTGAGGGAGCCACTTGAGGGAGCCACTTGAGGGAGCCACTTGAGGGAGCCACTTGAGGGAGCCACTTGAGGGAGCCACTTGAGGGAGCCACTTGAGGGAGCCACTTGAGGGAGCCACTTGAGGGAGCCACTTGAGGGAGCCACTTGAGGGAGCCACTAGAGGGAGCCACTAGAGGGAGCCACTAGAGGGAGCCACTTGAGGGAGCCACTTGAGGGAGCCACTTGAGGGAGCCACTTGAGGGAGCCACTTGAGGGAGCCACTTGAGGGAGCCACTTGAGGGAGCCACTTGAGGGAGCCACTTGAGGGAGCCACTTGAGGGAGCCACTTGAGGGAGCCACTTGAGGGAGCCACTTGAGGGAGCCACTTGAGGGAGCCACTTGAGGGAGCCACTTGAGGGAGCCACTTGAGGGAGCCACTTGAGGGAGCCACTTGAGGGAGCCACTTGAGGGACCGCTATGAAGACTGCCGTGAGGATGAAGAAACGACTTTTGAGTCGACTCAAAAGCCACCTGAGGGACAGCTGAGATGGCTGCCGTGAGGATAAAGAATGAGTAAGAATATATATTGTGTCCACAAACCACCCCTCGCAGGGCTGGTGTGAGCAGCACGAGGGCATCAATAAATAGGTCTCCAAACGAGTCTGGTGAATCCGCAGCTACTGGCAGGTGACGCGGAAGGACTGCTGCTCCCCTTTTGCCCTCCTCCCTCCTCTCCTCCACACTCTTATCCACCCTCCTCCACCCTCCTCTCCTCTATCCTCCTCTCCCCCACCTTCCTCTCCTGAATGTGCCCTCCTCCCTCCTCTCCTCCACACTCTTATCCACCCTCCTCCACCCTCCTCTCCTCTATCCTCCTTTTCCCCGCCTTCCTCTCCTGAACGCCACATTTGAAAGCCTTGGAACCCCTGCTATAGACTCTGCTTCAAGTCACATGCCAAGGACGAGACGACCCAAGTGTCACCCTCACCATATGTCTCCACACTGGGCACCACCGCACCTCACACCACCCCACCTCACACCACCCCACCTCACACCACCCCATCACATACCACCGCACCCACCCCGCCTCACACCATCCCACCTCACGTCCCCACAGGAAGCTACGTCTTCTTGTTCTTGGTGCGCCGCACTGCTCCCTGCTCGCTCCTGCTGCTGGGCTGTGACAATGCTGCGCTGCTGCTGCTGCCCGAGGTGGTGGTGGCCGTGCTGCTTCTGCCAGGGGATGGCCTGCTGGCGTCAGCTGCTGCTGTGCTGCTGCTGGTGGTGGTGGTGGTGGTAGAGGCGGGGGTGTGAGGCTTGGCCTGAGAGCCAGGAGCGTGGTGGGGTGATGCGTGGGTGGGGGGCGGGGGAGGGATGCACCTGGAGTGGGGGACGACGGATGAGGGAGAGGAGTGAGGGAGAGATGGAGCGAGGGAGAGGGGTTTGGGGAGAACGGTGTTACACAGATGCGGTTGCTGGTGTTCCAAGGGGAGTGGGCAGCACATGTGGTGGTGGGCGTGTATAATGCATGTGGCACGCTTACGAAGTGCTTACAGCCTGCATGGGGAATGCACTCAGGCAAACGATTGCAGTCAGGGAGATAGCAAGAGAGCAGGGAGGTAAGAACGAGTTCAGTGACTCACAGCATGGTGTGCAGAAGGTTGAAGAGCGGTGCAGAGGGGTCCAGATGCGAGTCAGTCACGACCTCCCACGCACTGTGGGCTACCTGGAAGGTCGAACAGGGCGGGGGGCAGCGAAGGCGGCTGGATGAGGAGGGCAGGGACGTTGGGTGGGTGGTAAGAAGTGGTACGGGTGGGTGGGGAAGGGACAACCGTGAAACATGTTATGAGGAGAAGGAAAGAGGTTGAGGGGGAGGGGGGTAGGAGCTTAGCAAGTTCGAAAGCGTGAGGATGCTGGAGCGGGAGGGAGAGGGCATGGTGAGGAGAAGGGTGTAAGGGAACAGGAGGCAGAAAGGGAATACGCAGGAAGGCAAGGATGTGTCATGCTATGAATGCAATAACGACTCACCAGGGAAAACAGTGGGTGCAGCAGCGGCTCAAAGTAGCCCCAGCAGCTACAGCAGGTGAGAGCAGGTGAGGGCAGGGCAGGTTAAGGCAGGTGAAGGCAGGTGAGGGCAGGTGAGGGCAGGTGAGGGCAGGTGAGGGCAGGTGACAGCAGGGTGCAGTGCGGTACAGACCATGGCAGAGGCGATAGCCCCGTAGGCAGCATGTCTGGAGCACACTGCTGTCCAGTGCACTGCTACTGTGTAGAAGAGCGACACCAGGAAGGCCGAGCGTGAGTACCTGGGGGGGGTTGGAGAGGGGGTGAGGAGAGGAGGGAGAGCAGCAGGTGAGAGTGGCATGTGGTAGTGGTGAGTGCAGCAGAGGCGATGGCCCCTGGCCCCATAGGCTGCATGTCTGGAGCACCATGCTGTCCAGTGCACCGTGAAGGTGTAGAAGAGGGTCACCAGGAAGGCCGAGCGCGAGTACCTGGGGGTGATGGAAAGGAGAGGGGAGGAGGAAAAGCAGCACGTGAGAGCGTGTTGCTGCCCAGTGCGCTGTGAGGGCCGTCCAGGTACAAGAGCGAGACCACCAAGGCCGGGCGAGTGAACCTGTGGTGAGAAAGTCACATAATTGCCCATGTTTGCAGTGAGCAGGAAGGAGCATAAGAGAGCCTTTTGGGAGGCGGAGAGGAGGATTTTTGTTAGGAACACACGCGTGTGTTCAGCTCATGTGTGGGAAAACGAGTACCTGCAGTGCAGTGCATGCGTCGATTCACAAGTCACCTCATTGATTACGATAGCAACACATGTATGCTCAGCACCTGTGCGCCAACACGAGTACCTGCAGTGCATGAAATTGCAGCTTAGAGTTCTGGGGCTAGCGAGCAGTAGCGGGCAGGTTCAAGATGACTTTTGAGCCGACTCAAAAGTCACCTCGAATACTTGACGTGGGTGATACAGACCGTGAGGGGAGTGATACGGACCATGAGGGGTAGAGCAGCTCGGGATGATTGGAAGCGGAGGGAGAGACGAGGGCTAGCACTGCGTCGTATATGAGCCGACCCCCACAGCCTGGCGCACGGGGGATTCATGGGGTTGACGATTGTGAAGGGGAAAATGAGGAGGGGAAGGAGGGAGACGTGGGCAGGTACAGCATCGTAGATAAGGCAGCCTCCACAGCATGGCACACAGTGACAGGGTGAGAAGGAAAATGTTATGTGGACATGCGAAAGCAGTAGAGGTGGGAGTGTTGGACGCATGGCAGACTGCACAGCACAGCACGCTCTCTGATGTGAATCACGCTCTGAGTGGTTGCACGCTCCAGAAGGTGCCTCCGCAGCCCACCTGTCCGTTACTGAAGGTGCCCATCATGGCACGGCTGCATTATCATGGCACGGCTGCATTATCATGGCACGGCTGCATCATCAGACGCATCGTGCTGAAGCATCGTGGTAACGCCTCAGTGCATCCTTCCCTGCATGTATGGACGTATGTGTGGACGCCCACAAATTGCAAACGCATGAGACGGTGAGTGAAAAGGCGCAAGCGAAGGCGCACCAGAGAGCGTGGCGATGAAGAGAGGCGCCACTGTGACGTGCAGTCCAAAGTGCTGTACTGCTGCATCCACCTGGGGGGAGGAGGAGACATGGCAAGCAGGCACACAGAGGCGGAGATACAGCAGGCACACAGAGGCGGAGATACAGCAGGCACACAGAGGCGGAGATACAGCAGGCACACAGAGAGGATGGAATGGAATGGACAGAGTGACAGATACTTGATATTCTTTGAGGCGTCAGAAGACACGGACATCTTCGTTGAAATACCTCAAAGAGTCCAGGCAGAACAGCAGACAGCCAGAACTCAACAGACTCCCCATGACTTGCAGTGCTTGGCAACAGACGCTGGCACAGCCACAGGGCATGCACATTGCATGGAAGGGCAGGCAGCAGAGGCGCAGAGGGCAGAGGCGCAGAGGGCAGAGGCGCGGAGGGCAGAGGCGCGGAGGGCACCCACCATGGAGAGAATGACGTTGGTGCGAGCCAGGCCTGATGCCGCCTTGCACAGCACCTGGTGACATGCGCGCGGGGAAAAGGGGGAGTGGGGACAGAGGTGGGATGAGAATGATGAGATGGGATGAGAAGGGGTGAGAAGGGGAGAGAAGGGGTTTAAAGGCGTGAGAAGGGGTGAGAGGAAGAACTCTGCAGGTGGTTGAGTATGGGTGTAATGAGGCAAGGGCCAGGGGTCGCGAGTGTGAGATGGGGCCATGCATGTGTTGCACCCGCCATGCATGTTGCACCCGCCATGCATGTGTTGCACCCGCCATGCATGTGTTGCACCCGCCATGCATGTTGCACCCGCCATGCATGTTGCACCCGCCATGCATGTTGCACCCACCATGCATCTTGCGCCCTTCACACAAAAATTCCTGGAATGCATGACCAACAACCCAAGGAGGTGCATGGCATAGCCACATGCTTCAAGACTCAAGCTGCCTGCCCTGTCACCTTGATGGGCTTGAGCTTGAACGCCTTGTAGCCCATGTCACGCGGACAGTAGCTTATCAACCACCTGCTCCCGACACACACACGCACGCACACACGCACGCACGCACGCACGCACGCACGCACACACGCACACACACACACACACACGCACACACACACACACACACACACACACACACACACACACACACACACACACACACACACACAGTGCATCGGGTTGAGACTCCTCAGAACATGGGTTGCGTGGCCTGACCGTTGGATGTGTGGCGGAGCATGGCGTGTGAGTGTGGCGGAGCATGGCGTGTGAGTGTGGCGGAGCATGGCGTGTGAGTGTGGCGGAGCATGACGTGTGAGTGTGGCGGAGCATGGTGTGTGAGTGGAGCATGGCGTGTGAGTGTGGCGGAGCATGGCGTGTGAGTGTGGCGGAGCATGGCGTGTGAGTGTGGCGGAGCATGGCGTGTGAGTGTGGCGGAGCATGGCGTGTGAGTGTGGCGGAGCATGGCGTGTGAGTGTGGCGGAGCATGGCGTGTGAGTGTGGCGGAGCATGGCGTGTGAGTGTGGCGGAGCATGGCGTGTGAGTGTGGCGGAGCATGGCGTGTGAGTGTGGCGGAGCATGGCGTGTGAGTGTGGCGGAGCATGGCGTGTGAGTGTGGCGGAGCATGGCGTGTGAGTGTGGCGGAGCATGGCGTGTGAGTGTGGCGGAGGAAACGAGAGTAGAAAGCAATGGAGTGAAGGAGCATGCAATGGGTGCACCTCGCTGGGCACTGGACAGGAGGGACAAAGGGGAGACCAGACAGAGCATGCTCAATGGCACCACCTCTCAACACGTCATACCCAACTGGTTACCACAACATGGTGTTCAGCTGACCATGGTTACAAAACAATTCTAGAATACTACAGGTTTCTGCCGGTACCAGCACATGGCGTGTACTGTCGACAAACAATCACCAGCACTGTAGCACGTTGTGAAAAGACATATATTTCCTGGACCTGTCCCTGGTTGGGCACGTGAAACAAAGTGGTTACCAGCAGACGGCGAATGTGATCAGAATGATATCCTTTTTGAGCCACACGACGTCGCTCTGTGCTTGTGGGGAATCGCCAGCAGGAGGGGGAAGGGGAGAGGTGGGGAGAAAGGGGGGGAAAGGGAGAGAAAGAGGAGAGGAAGGAGGGATAAAAGGGGAGGAATGGGGAAGAAGGTTCTGGGTTTGTGTTGTTGGAAGGTGTGTAGGGGAAGCATATAGGCACAACAGTTTGCTGCTGGTAGGGTATCCAGACAAGTCATGTGGAATGCGCGTAAGTCCATGCTCCCATGCTCTCGCACCCATGCAACAGCGGGTGGACCTCACAAAACGCGAGCAGAGACACTCTCATTCAACATCAGAGCACCCATTCAACATCAGAGCAGCCATTCAACATCAGAGCAGCCATTCAACATCAGAGCAGCCATTCAACATGAGAGCAGCCATTCAACATGAGAGCAGCCATTCAACATCAGAGCAGCCATTCAACATCAGAGCAGCCATTCAACATCAGAGCAGCCATTCAACATCAGAGCAGCCATTCAACATCAGAGCAGCCATTCAACATCAGAGCAGCCATTCAACATGAGAGCAGCCATTCAACATGAGAGCAGCCATTCAACATCAGAGCAGCCATTCAACATCAGAGCAGCCATTCAACATCAGAGCAGCCATTCAACATCAGAGCAGCCATTCAACATCAGAGCAGCCATTCAACATCAGAGCAGCCATTCAACATCAGAGCAGCCATTCAACATCAGAGCAGCCATTCAACATCAGAGCAGCCATTCAACATCAGAGCAGCCATTCAACATGAGAGCAGCCATTCAACATGAGAGCAGCCATTCAACATGAGAGCAGCCATTCAACATGAGAGCAGCCATTCAACATCAGAGCAGCCATTCAACATCAGAGCAGCCATTCAACATCAGAGCAGCCATTCAACATCAGAGCAGCCATTCAACATCAGAGCAGCCATTCAACATCAGAGCAGCCATTCAACATCAGAGCAGCCATTCAACATCAGAGCAGCCATTCAACATCAGAGCAGCCATTCAACATCAGAGCAGCCATTCAACATGAGAGCAGCCATTCAACATGAGAGCAGCCATTCAACATCAGAGCAGACATTCAACATCAGAGCAGCCATTCAACATCAGAGCAGCCATTCAACATCAGAGCAGCCATTCAACATCAGAGCAGCCATTCAACATCAGAGCAGCCATTCAACATGAGAGCAGCCATTCAACATGAGAGCAGCCATTCAACATCAGAGCAGCCATTCAACATCAGAGCAGCCATTCAGATCCAGATCCCCCCGACGCGATTCCTGGTTGGGGTTCTCAATTGTGCCGCTAAAGCGAGACCCGTTACGAATGGTGACCCGTATTAAGAGTTGAATTGAAGTGGGATACTACAAAGTGCTCCTGTAATGAGGTCGTATAACGATTTTCTAACGACATATTGTAACGAATCCAACAATGCAAGCACGCAGACAGACGAGCAGCAGAAGGATAAGGCACCTGCAAGACGAGCGAGGGCAGGGAGTAGTCGCCGTAAGCCAATAGGAACGACGCCCAGAAGCTCAGCAGCCAATGGCGTCGCACCGCCGGAACCCCCCTCACGATCGCCGACGTGGCGAGGGCCTTCCCCGCCACGATCAGATCGTACGGCACCGCGCTATACGCTTCCCCGATTTCGTGCAGCTGCTGGTGCGCGCGCGCGAGCAGCGGCATTGCGGAGTGCAGGAGCGGCGGAAGGACGGTCTTGGCGGGGAGGAGAAAGGTCCAAGGGGAGGAAGGATGAGAGGAGCGGGAGGATGGTGGAGTGCCATAGCTGAACGAAGAAGTACGTCGCCATGGCTACTACGGCGACAGCGTTCTGAAATCTAGGAGTGCGTGATGGTGGTGCGTGGAAAAAACTAGCAGCGAATGGTCATTGCTTCGATTGTGTCATGATCTGTCACTCTACAGTTCTGACAGGAAGATTGCTGTTGAGGTACCATTCGCAGAATCGGATTGGAAAAACTCGAATATGGTAACCCGCTGCGACATGCGATTTCCAAATTTATCCCTTTGTTCGTCTCTTTCCAAGGTTAGCGAAAAATGTCGTTCCCCACGCGGTGCAAGGTCGGACGGGGCTGACTTCACAAGAAGACCGTTCAGGCAGGACAATTGGATCGGATTGGATTCTCTGATTTTACAGGAGCAAAAAGTTCATGAGCGCCATTCATAACCGGACTCAACGGGACCCCGAGAACGCGTCCTCGGGTCGACCATTCTTATGATCATACTACCCGCAGCGCCATTTTTGTGACCATTCCAGTAAGACTATCTTTCCTATTTACTAAGTGATACTTTCTAGGCTAACGAATAATGATTATGCGTGACCACGTGAGGAAGCGCGGTTAAGTCGTAGTTAAACTACTTTTTGCTACCTACATACAACCAGGTCAGCCGATTTCAGCTCAGCAGCACCCGTGACGTTATTTATGACAGCGTGACTTAACGCTCCTCATCACGATGGCACCCGCCAGCTCCTCGTGGCTGCTCGATGCCGTCATTCGTCCCTCGCTCTCCGCCGTCCTCCCAACGGACCTCGCCGTTTCCCTCGTCATTCCCTCCTCAATCCCCTCCTTCCTCTCTCCGACTCGCCGTATTTCACGGCGGCTGTGACGCTCGCCGAGAGGACGCATCAGCAGCTGCACGACGCCGGATTGGCCTTTCAGAGCATCCCCTTTGATTTTATCATAATTGGCCACGCGCTTGCCACGTCAGCAGCTGTGCGGATCCCCCTGCTGCGACGCCATTGGCTGCTGTGCTTCTGGGCGGCGTTCTTCACCGGATATGGCGGAGGAACGCTCACCTCCCTCCTCCTGCATGTGCGTGCCTCACTCTGGATGTGCGTGCCTCACTCTGCATGTGCGTGCCTCACTCTGCATGTGCGTGCCTCACTCTGCATGTGCGCCTTAGTATATGTGCTTGCTGAGGGTTATTGATGTTGTAATTGCTCGCATCAGTTGCGTGGGGGGGCTCGTTCTTGTTCAATAAGCTGTAGATGCTAAGGTAAGCAGTTTCAGTTGTAACACCCGTCTTCTTGCACCATCTCCACTCCGCACCTTTCCATGGTCCACCACTCTTTCCCAAACCTCTCCACTCCTCTCCGCTCCACCACTCCGCAGGATCACTTTGTGTGGCTCCGCAACGACTCTGCTGCTACGCTGCTTCCTTCGCTGCTGCAACGCTCGTTGCAGTTGCTGCCAGGCTCCGGATGTTCCCTGGAGACATGGGACTTGTCATTCGTCCTCACGTCATTCATGCCACGCACACTCCACCCGTCCATGCCACGCACACTCTCTCCCCTCATCCTTGACACGCACTGTCACCCCACCATATCGCATTCAACTCCTCTTCAACCCCTGCGTGCAGGTGGGTCATCACATATTCCCCATACGACGTGGGGAGTCGCCTGTACGCCCTCACGCCTGTCAAGGTACATGAGTGTTGACCTGCTTTGCACATGCATGCATGGCACGACTGCTGTCGCATGTGCATCCGCCATCACCTGCTTGCCTCCGCCATCACCTGCTTGCCTCCGCCATCACCTGCTTGCCTCCGCCACTTCACACCTTCAATCAATTACTCACCTTACTTCCACTCCCCTTCAGGTCTCTGACATTTCTCACTCACAGAATGCAGTATGGGAACACAGGCATGTGTTGCTGTTGGCTTCTCGAGAGCAAAACATGCCTGTGTTGACACCACTATTCTTTGCGTGCCCTCCCCTATTCTCCCTAAGCATTCGCCTCCTGCTCTCATGCCTCGTGCTCTCATGCCTCGTGCTCTCATGCCTCGTGCTCATGTAAGACTAAGATGCCGCAAATGAAGGCTCGGCCGAAATGCGTGTACGCTTCGGCAGAATGACTCCAAGTATTCTACTCTTCCTACCTTTTTCGAGTTTCTACCTGCATTACCCCTATTAGCTGTTGGGTAGTCTTAGTTATTACTGAACGTGAGATTCCTTGGCTTGCTGCGGTCAAATCTGTTCCAACCCTTGCACGACGCCTCGCTCTCATGTGTCCTGTGTGCTCCTCCTTCGGTCCTTCCGTTCCACTCCTCCACTGCCGTCTGCTTTCACCCCGTCTGCTTTCACCCCGTCTGCTTTCACCCCGTCTGCTTTCACCCCGTCTGCTTTCACCCCGTCTGCTTTCACCCCGTCTGCTTTCACCCCGTCTGCTTTCACCCCGTCTGCTTTCACCCCGTCTGCTTTCACCCCGTCTGCTTTCACCCCGTCTGCTTTCACCCCGTCTGCTTTCACCCCGTCTGCTTTCACCCCGTCTGCTTTCACCCCGTCTGCCTTCTCCCATCCCGCCTTCTCCCCCACATGCGTTCTCCCCACCTGCCTGCAGCTGCTAGCGCGGGTGACAGCAAGCATAGCGCGCACAGGCGTCGTCATTTCCAGAGTAATCCCACTGCTGCCACCTGCCATGTGCTGCTGCCACCTGCCATGTGCTGCTGCTACCTGCCATGTGCTGCTGCCACCTGCCATGTGCTGCTGCCACCTGCCATGTGCTGCTGCCACCTGCCATGTGCTGCTGCCACCTGCCATGTGCTGCTGCTACCTGCCATGTGCTGCTGCCACCTGCCATGTGCTGCTGCCACCTGCCATGTGCTGCTGCTACCTGCCATGTGCTGCTGCTACCTGCCATGTGCTGCTGCTACCTGCCATGTGCTGCTGCTACCTGCCATGTGCTGCTGCTACCTGCCATGTGCTCTCTGCCGCTACCATGTGCTCCCTCTTCAGTCTCCCTCCCCTTCTCCCCTCCCCCATCTCACCTGTGACTCAACCCCTCCACTCTCTCTCGTCGCTCTTGACCGGGGGTGCAGATTGACAGGGCAGTTGGGCTGTTTGGGAAGCATGCACTGGTTGCTCCAGTCTTCATTGGTACTCTCGCAGGTACAGCACTCTCCCCCCCCCCACCTGTACCCTTGTGTTTCCTTCCTCAAACCACCATCACTCTTTGTGCTCCCCTCCCCACACCACTCTCACTCGTTTCATTTCCCTCCCCACACCAGACCACCCTCCCTTTTTGTGTTTCCCTCCCTGCACCACCCTCCTCCATGACCAGGCTGTGGGGGTCGCCTCGTTCTGGACCTCCTTCTCACCCTCTTACTCCCCTCCTCACCTCATCACGCTCTCTCCGTGCGTCACGCTGTGCTTTGGCTCTTGTGTGCATCCCTCGCTCCCCCTCTTCTCCTCCTCACGCCACTCTCCCCCATCGCCAGGCTGTGGGGGCCGTCTCATCTTGGACCTCGTTCTCGCCCTCCTCACTGCATCGCCTCCCTCGCGCTCTGAGCTGCTCTACCCTTCCTGGTGTGTCTCTGCAACCAAGCCTTGAACAAGGTAGTTGATCGCTCGTGCATGACTCTAGTTTCTTTTAAAATTCTCGATACAAGCTTGTAGTCATAGATCCGCGCTGTGCCTCCATGCCTTATGCTGGCTGCAGCCATGCGCTACTACTGCCCACTGGCTGCAGCCATGCGCTACTACTGCCCACTGTCACATGCACCCCTGCAATCTCACTCAACCGTCTTCGCACACTCATTCTTCTCCCCTCAGGCTCCCCCCTTTAGCGTGTTTCATGTCGCTCGCCAACACTCCGGCCGTCCACACGCTCACCAGGAGGGTGCAATGCTAGTACATCCTCCTGCCAGGAGACAATCGTTTAGGCTCCACTATCGCTTCGTATCACCCCCTTCCCCCCCCTAGGCTGTCCCGCTCGGCGCGCCTCATGTGACTGGGCTGCACCGTGGCCGTGCACTGGGCTGCACCGTGGCCGTGCACTGGACTGCCTGCTGCCATGAGATGAGACAAGTGTTGAGGCACCTCTAAATCACCTCGTATCCCCCCCATCTCCTCCCACTCCTCCCCCCTCCAGGCTCTCCCGCTCGGCATGCATAATGGCACTGGGCTACACTCTAGCCGTCCACTGGGCTGCCTGCTGCACCTCCCAGGCTGCCTTTGCTGCCATCGCCTCCCTCCTCGTACGCTCGTTGCCTGCCCGGTTCTTTTCTCTCTTGTCATGACATGCCATCGTCACTATTTTCCCTTTGCTGTGTGCTCGTTGCCTGCGCGGACACTATTTTCTCTCTTGTCATGACATTCCATCGTCACCTTTTTCCCTTTGCTGTGTGCTCGTCGCGTCTTGCGGTGCTACGGTGCTGCTATCGTGCCCTTCTCCGCTTTACTCCACTCCCCTCCGCTCATCCCCCAATCCCCCAACCTCATTTGTTCCCCGTTTGTTTCCTGTCTGTTTTTTCTATTAAGTGGAAACTTATGCTTGAGAGAGAGCAACGCTGACGAGAAAAAAAGAGAGGAAAGACACACCGTAAAATGAGGAACACGAGTTAACGGATCCAGGAGTTATAAGAGGGAGCCCAGATTTGTCTACGTTACCTTCCAGTCAAACTAGCAAAGTCTGCGGGCTAAACACCCTAAATGGTGTGGTCAGGGTAGGGCAAGCTTCACCACTACCCCAAGTTTTTTAAGGCTCATGTATTTTTTTCAACCATCTCCCTCCGCCATCTTTCTTCCCCTCCTCTTCCTCGGCGTCCCTCCTCCCCTCTCCAGATGGCCCACAGTGCATGGGAGGTCATTTCAGGCTCGCCTTGGGACCCCACTGCACCGCTCTCCACCCTCTTCCACTCCCTGCTGTCAGTCCTCTTCCTTTTTCGCCTGCCATCTCTTCTCCCTGTCCTCTTCTTTCTGCGCACTCTCTATTGGCGAATTTCCCTCACTTGGTTTGCCACCCACACAGCTGCTTGCACTTACCTCATGAGGGACCTCCCCACATGTCATGTTGCAACATTATCGTGCTTATCACTTTCTGACCACTTGCTTACCACCTGGTACTTGCTCACATATTCCCCTCATCTTTCCGCTCCCCACCATTTTCTCCACTTCCTCACACCTCTCTGCCAAACGTCTCATCCCGCCTCATTCAGTCCACCTCATCTATGCCTCCTTTCATTCAGTCCACCTCATCTATGCCTCCTTTCATTCAGTCCACCTCATCTATGCCTCCTTTCATTCAGTCCACCTCATCTATGCCTCCTTTCATTCAGTCCACCTCATCTATGCCTCCTTTCATTCAGTCCACCTCATCTATGCCTCCTTTCATTCAGTCCACCTCATCTATGCCTCCTTTCATTCAGTCCACCTCATCTATGCCTCCTTTCATTCAGTCCACCTCATCTATGCCTCCTTTCATTCAGTCCACCTCATCTATGCCTCCTTTCATTCAGTCCACCTCATCTATGCCTCCTTTCATTCAGTCCACCTCATCTATGCCTCCTTGCACTTATCCTCCTAACTCACTCCCCTCACTCATCCCTCACCTCTCCCATCCCTCATCTCTCATCCCTCTTCTCACTCTTCCCTCCCGCACTCCAGGTGCATCCCACTTCGTCCTGCCACCCTCCCATCACCCAAGCCCTCCACCACCACACCATCACCCTCTCACCCACTCCCCCATCCTCCAACCCAACTCAACGGCCACAGCAGCAGCACCAAAGGGCAGGGTGCATCTCAGGGCACGCAGCAGCAGAGGCGAGGGGAGGGGGAGAGCAGCAGTCGGTTCGAGAGCACTCCTGTGGGAGGCAAAGCTGCCCGGCACCGGAAGCCTCAGCGCGCGTGAACCCTGCGCCTCATTCTGGGGTGGGCCCCTCGAAAAAGGCCGACCGTGGGTTTGAAAGCATTCCTGGCAGAGTCAAAGCAGCGAGGCACAGGAAGCCCTGGCAGGCATGAGTGACCCATGCGGCTTGCTTTGAGACAGTTGGTTGGGAAGCGCTTTTGTTCGAGTCGAGACAGAACAGCCACGACGGGAAGTCGCAGCGGGTGTGAGCCCTGCGGCTGATCTGAGGTCTCAAAAGAAAGGCATCTGGTGGTTGAGAAAAACTACCGTACTTGTGATTTATTAATCAAGAGTTTTTTCAAAGAGCTGTTTTTCATGTTGTCTGAGCACTCTTCTCTGAGCTTGAGCGTTCCCACCAGGGCTAATTTTTTGTTTTTACCAACCCTTGCGATCAGTGTTGCACATGATCAAAAACCTGATTATCAGTGTTACCCTTTGTGAAAAAACTGATCTATCAGGGTTTTTGCTTGTTTTGAATATTCTACCATGAGGCATCAGTGTAACAATGTTTCAAACCCTGCTGAAGTTGTTATTAACACAGCACACAATAACAAGCTTAATCATCATCATCAGACATGCCACACGGGTGTTGTTCGTGGTCACCTTCCTCTTCTGGCTCCGGCACTTTCTCTTTGCCCTTTCTTTCCATTAGGGTCGGCAGCGCCACTGATTTCGCCGGCCGTCTGCGTTAGAATCACTAGCTAGGTGATGAATGTCGATTAGGTAAGGGGGGGGGTACAAGGACTATCGAGAGAGATTGTTGTACCCTCTAAGGGAAGAACCCTACACAACCTAGAGTGAAATAAGCAGAACAATATGTTTTGACACACCCCCATAGGTGAAGTAGGGGATAGCCAAGCCTAACAGTGGTCACAAGACCAGTCAAGCAAGAGAACAAGCAAGGCAAAGCCCAGGGTGGATCTCAAGGACTCCACACAATCTGAGCACAAGCAGGCAGCCACAAGGCCAGTTCACATGCAGATTTATAAGAGCAAGGCAGTACACTGATCAAAACCTAGCAAGAGGAAACATGCAGGTATAAAGATATATAGCAGTGTACAACAAGAGCAAGTCAAGCAACCAGCAGGTGAGGCAGAGTGGGCACAAGCCCAAGAGCAGTGCAGAAACGCTGATGATCACCAGCCGCAAGGGCCTTGGTGAAGACATCAGCAGTGTTGGCCCGAGAGGCCACGAAAGCAAGGCGCAGCTGACCACGCAGCTGCAGCTCACGCGCAAGGAAGTAGCGCAGAGCAATGTGCTTCGTTCTGTGCTCCAGTCTCTGCTCGCGACACAAGGCAAGCATTGCCTTGTTGTCGACGTACAGAACTGGAGGAGAACGAGGCCGCTCCCCCAAGTCGGTCAGCAGGTAGGTCAGCCAACGGAGCTCCTGTGCAGCCATGGCCCCAGCGTAGATCTCGGCCTCACAGCTGGAACCAAGCACAGAAGAAGAACGAGTGGACCTCCACGAGACAGAATCAGCGCCAAGACTGAAGGTGTAGCCCTGTGACGAACGCTGAGTCGCCTGGTCGTCGGCCCAAGAAGCGTCAGAGTGTCCTGTGAGGACCACCGAACCCCGTCCTCCAAGCACGAGCCCCATGCCCGATGTGCTGCACAAGTAACGCAGTACCCTCTTCGCAGCATCAAAGTGCACCTTTCGGTGCCTACCGGGTGCCACGTAGCGAGCAAGAAGGCTGAGAGGGTACGTGAGGTCAGGTCGTGTGCACGTCACCAGGTACATGAGGCAGCCCACAAGCTCTGGGTACGGACCACTCGGCTCTACGGACTCGTCCGAAGGTGGAGCTGAGAGCGAGTGGCCGGTAGCTAGAGGAGTGGGCTGTGGCGAGGAGTACGTGAAGCGGAAGCGCTGAAGGACCTGGTGCACCATGTGTGACTGAGTCAGGGTGATGGTGCGCCGTGCTCTGTCCCGGGTGATCTGCAAGCCAAGATAGCTCCGCAGCTCACCCAGGTCAGTGCAGGTGTGTCTCTCCTGCAGCTCCGCCTTCACTAGGGCCAGTGTCTCAGTGTCAGCAGTAGCAAAAACCAAGTCGTCGACGTACACGAGGATGTAGAATGGCGGCAGAGTAGTGTCGGTGCGTAGAAACAGCGACGGGTCAGCAGTCGAAGGAGCAAACCCAAGAGCCGCAAGTGTCGTCCTCAGTGTGTCGTGCCACTCGCGGGGCGCCTGACGCAGGCCGTACACTGGTCGCCGTAGGCTCCACTGGGTACCCTCAGGAAACGACCCAGTGAAGCCCTGTGGACAGCGCAACCAGATGGCCTCGTGAAGGCTACCCTGCAAGAAAGCTGTCGAGAAGTCGAGGGAGTGCAGCTCGTAGTCACGCTGAGCTGCAACGTGTAGCAACACCCGAAGAGTGGTCATCTTCGGGGTGGGGGAGAAGGTCTGAAAGAAGTCGACCCCCTCACGCTGACTGAAGCCTCGAGCAACGTAACGTGCCTTGAAGGCAGGCGGCGGCGGCCGCTTCACCCTGAAAATCCACATGCCACTGACGATGTTCGCCCCAGGTGGGGGAACCTCGTCGACGTAGGTGCCTGTGGACTTCCAGGAAGCCATCTCTGCGTCCATGGCTGTCTGCCACTGAGAGGAGTACTCACCCGAAATCGCCTCCCTGTAGGAGCGCGGGGTGGGGATGTCAAGTGCATCCGGGTCTCCCTCAGGGGCAAGCAGCATGGTCGCGTGATGGGGTGAAGCGGCAGCAAGGCACTCCAGCTCCTCCTGTCTGTCCTCAAGAACGTCACAGCCAAGGGCAGTGCAGCCAAGAGCAGTCTCACCCCCGACGGACGGAGGACAGGCAGGGACAGGGTCAGAGACAAGACTCGCAAGGTAGTCTAGACGGTACACAGCAGCAAAGTCAACGAGCTCAGCTACTAGGGCAGACGCAGCAGGAGACGAGAACGTAGGGTCCGTCACAACCGTAGCAAGAAGGCGAGCAACAGTCGGACTGGACGCACGAGCAAGGTCAGATGGAGGGTCAGCAACGTCAGGCAAAGAGGATGCAGGAGGTAACGGTAGGACAACACGCTGTGGAACAGAGGAAGGACGGAGTGTCATATCGTGAGTGCCGGGGACAGCCGGAGCACGCTGACGACGAACACGAGGAACACGAGCACGGATAGCAGCTCTAGGCTCAGGCTCAAGGTCAAAGCTAGACTCAGGCTCTCGACGCTCAGGGGTGGAAGCACGAGTCTCAGGCTCTCGACGCTCAGTCAGGGACTCTGACACCACAGTGTAAGGAGCAGGAGCAGACAGTGGGGAGTGTGGTAGCAGCGGCGGCTGTGACTGGTCCGCCGGTGGACACAGCAACGGAGGAGTAGTACCTGCCACAGGGAAGCCAGTAGCACCTGGCTGAAGACTGAGAAGGTGGCGAAGAGCACCAGTAGCTCCACCAGGACCTCCAGCACCTCCAGCACCTCCAGCCCCAGCAGCTCCAGCGCCTCCAGCACCAGCAGCTCCAGCAGCTCCACGACCTCCAGCACCAGCAGTACCTCCAGTACCTCCAGCACCAGCAGCTCCACGACCTCCAGCACCAGCAGCACCTCCACTACTTCCAGCACCAGCAGCTCCACCAGGACCAGCAGCACCAGCAGCTCCCCGACCTCCAGCACCAGCAGCACCTCCAGTACCTCCAGCACCTCCAGGACCTCCAGCACCAGCAGCACCTCCAGGACGACCAGCACCAGCAGCACCTCCAGTACCTCCAGCACCAGTAGCTCCAGGTCCTCCGGTAGGAGCTCCGACGACACCAACACCAGAAGGACTCGCAGCACCCCAAGAGTCAGCACCCGAACTCGCAGCACCCCCAGGCTCAGTACCCTCAGTCCCAGCACCCCCAGGCTCAGTACCCTCAGTCGCAGCACCCTCAGGCTCAGTACCCTCAGTCCCAGCACCCCCAGGCTCAGACTCGTGCACCACCGTCGACCTCGTCGTCGACGCCACCTTCGTTGCGCACCGGTCGAGGAGATGCAGGACGGGAAGGGTGTTTCGTCGCCCACTGCGACCGGATGCCCAACTCGACGATCACCAAGGGGATCGTCCCGTACTCGCCATCCGCGTGGCGTCTCCTCGCGTCAGCCAAACGTGCCTCCAAGGTGTCCGCTACGCCCGCATCAACTACGGGGTCGACCATGGTGACTAACGCTGCTGCCGGCCTACGAACGACTTAGTAGGTGCAAAAGTCGGCTCCTATCTGAAGGTAATCTGCGGGGCCGTCCACGCTGACCGCACCATGCGGAGATTCACTCTACAACAGTAGTGAGCTAGACTGCGGGGGTTGGCACGAACAACTAGAGGTGATCGTAGCTTTGCTTAGTTCGTTAGTGCTTGCGCATTTACGGGAGAAATTGGCAAGAGTTTCCACTAGGCAAAGACGAAATTACAGAATGATTGAACAAGCAATAGCAACAATGACTACATCAGGCACCTAGCAACCTTGCAGCTAGCCAGGTCGACCGCCAGCACAGCTTGGTCGACCGCCTGCCAGCGTTGCGTAGAGGAGCCGCGCCAGCACTGCGGAAAGGCAACCTGCCAACAGAGCAGGTCGACGGCGTGCCAACGCTGCAGCAGAGCGGCTGTCCAGCGTTGCCCCGTAGAACACAGCAGTGCGCACGCTCGCAGGTGCGCGCAGACGATTGGCCCGACTTGCCTCATTGGGCATCCGTCGGCTGTTGTCTGCGCCTGACGAGCCACATCGACTTCGGGATACCAGCTCGCAGTCGTCTGCGCCATCGCGACCTCGACGACGTTCGCGTGCCTCCGCAGAACTCGTCGAGCAGGTTACCCGATCGACCCCCAGGCGCTCTGGTCGACCCCCAGGCGCTTCCGGTCGACCACCAGGTCCCTCTGGTCGACCACCAGGTGCCACTGGTCGACCACAACTCCCGTCAAACTACCCCCTGGTCGACAGACCCCTTTCGTCGATCTGAACCATCAGCGGTTGTCGCCGAGCTCCCCTCGTCGACCGCTGCTCACTTATCAGGTCGACGG